TGAGGGTAGTGACACTCTCTCACAGGGCTGTGAGGATAATTGAAGTACCGTAATAAGGGGACAGGTGGGGGAAAAAGACTTCCTTGGAAAGTTTTCTTTTAAAAGCAGCTGTTTTAAAATTATGGGACAAAGATTAAACTCACCTGGACTCAAAACAAAAAAGTGCACTACCTCAGCCTGCTAAAGGAAGTGTTTGGAGGGAAATTGAAATACCTGCTTCAAACCCTCCACCTCCTTTTACTTGGAAGGAAAGCTGCAAACAACAAAGGAAACTATTCACTAACGCTTTAAAAGGCACTGTTAACTGAGCCAATGTACCTTATCAATTAGGATTGTTTGGTTTGTTTGATCTGTATTTGTTTGTGCTTTTCTAAGCAAAGAGGGAGGGAAGAACCATGTTCAGCGCCACCTTGAGTTTCTTGGAGGAAAGATGGGAGAAATGTAATAAACAGGTGCTATAAACATACTTAATACTTGCACTTGTATCCCACCCACCAATTTCATGATGTTTACAAAACTGATAAATGCCTATAAAATAAAATCACAACAACATTTAAAATAGAGTTAGAATGCAAAAAAATTAAAATCCCAGAAGCATCACATCAGTTTCCAGCAAAAGCCTGAGAGAATTGGTACCTTTTTAATCCACATCAAAAGATGACCAGCTGAGGATGCCTGTTATACCTCAGGAGGGAGGGAATTCTGTGGCTGAAATGCCAGGCATGGAGAAGGCCCCGTGCGACATAACCACACACTGAGCCACGTCTTATCAGCAGAACTACATGAAAGGCATTTCCTGATGATCTTAATGCACAGGCAGGCTAATACAGAGAGAGGGCCTCATTCATGTACAGTATATGGATCCCAAGGTGTCATACATGAAAGTTAACGCTTTTCAGTTCGGTTTGGTAATGTATAAGCATCCATTTTAGCATGAGAGAGAGAGAGCAGATTTATTACCATCGGAAAACATCAACCCCACAACATGGCTCTGCTGCTCTCTTGCAGGTGACCTCCAGGTGATGTTGGACTAAAGACCCCATCAGTCCCAGGCAGCATGGCCAATCTTCAGCATCACCTGGAGGGAAATGGATTTCCCATCCTTGCTTTAACTTAGTTAAGGTGGCCTTTGCTTTCCATTTTCTGCCTGTGGGGCTCCCACTGCACTGCTCATTTCACAGAACCATCTTTTTGCTTGAGATTGGGAATGGGCGGAACCCCAGTGATAGGGCCCCAGATGTAATCCCCAGTAGTGTCTCCAGTCAGGGCTGGGAGAGTCTTCTGTCTGAAACCCCAAAGAGCCACTGCCAGCCAGCCTAGACAGTATTGAGCTAGATTGACCAAAGGTCCGACTTGGTATAAGGCAGCCTCCTATCCCACCAGATTCCCTTTAGGATAACTTGTTTACGGTGTTAGAAACTTAGATATGAAAGCTAAATGGCACCTTAAACCTAGGTTATGAGCGCCACAATGGAATGTCTAGGCACACTTTTTTATTAAAAGAATACAAAGCTGAAAATGAATGAACTGCAGCTAAAATACTATGTTCCTTTTTCACATGGTCTAGTCCTTCCCCTGCCCACCCCCCTAATATTCTTAAGGGGGTCTCTTCTCCAGTCTTCAGAGAGTAGCTGGAAGTGGGGAGGCAGAAAAAGGTCCTCCTTTCCTTCCACTCCGCATACAAGCCCTGGATTCTCCCTGCACCCCCTTTCCTTCACATAAATGTATCTTTTTGGCACCACAATTAGCACATATTAAAGGCCTATACAACTGATGGCAGAGACACCCGCCTTGAGTGTCCAGTTCGCAAACCTAAGTCTTAAGGGTCCTTCAATGATTCCACTCCAAAATTGGTTTTGATTTTAAGCATCACTGTGAGAGTCTGAGGTAGATAACACTTTAACATGCACTTCTTGAACCATCATAACTAACTGGCTAGTATATTTCAAATTAAAAGCACAGCATACATTAAAAGTGCATTTAAACAAGGCAATTGAAACCTAAACAAAACATGTTGGGTTGAAAAGAAAAGAAAAGAAAGTTTTCAGGTCCCCAATCCATGCACGTTTTACTTGGGAGGAAGCCCCACTGAACTTGGTTGGGTTTTACTTCCAAGTAACAGTGGCAACTTTAATCTGAAATCTTAGGCACAGTACTGTGTCCAGACCTCAGAAACTGCTCGCGTTTATGAAATTCCCTGTCGCAAAACGCGCCCAGAACAATGGGAGTTTTGCATGCTGCTTGTTTAGTGGCAGCCCACATTTTAATATCTACGGAATAGGTTCCCCTGAAGGTGCAGTCACGTGAAGTCCCCATGCCTCTAGTCCTGCTCTCAGGAGTCGAGATTTGGTTGTTGTCGATGTTTTGTGTTCCTTTTCCTCCTTCCGTACCCAGACATGAGTGTAAATTATAAATGAGTGATGCAGTGTTTGATTCTGCTCCTCCAGGGTGCCTTTTGGAATGGTGGCTCAGCTGTTGCAGTGAGCCCAAGAGAGCAACAGCCCAGAGTGTCCTTGGGAAAGCAAGTCAAATGTGGGGTGCAGTGCCAGAGCAGAAAGCATTTTTCCGTTTTGCCAGGCCTGTCTGCATTCTGCACATCTGCAGGCTCACTGCACAAAATTCAAGACCTGCTCTAAGGTGCAGAGATTTGCACGGCTGCATTTCAGTGGTCATGATTTTTAAACGGGTTGAAAATCTGGCCAGTGGGAATGTTGTGGGCATGTTCAGCCTGGTCTCAATCAGGCACTTTTAAGTCATAGTCCAATTATCCTGTAACCACTTTAAAAAACCAACACACACACCCCACCCTGAAGTGTTGTGAGATGCTGTCCTCAGTCAACATTCATGTTGTCAAGTCTGGGTGAGTCTTTGTGCTCCCTGCTACTTGCTGCAGCTAGGGCTGTCCTCTCTGGTCACTGTCAAGTCAGGAATACTTCTTGCAGTCAGTGGAGTGCAAACAGAGCTCTGTTTCCTCTTGCTAGGAAGAGTGCAAACAAATGCCCTGTGCCAGTGGCTTCACATAGGATGACAAAAAATGGAAGGAATCAAACACACTCATATAAAGTACTGTTGATTTTTGAAATTCTATTGATTGTCTTTGAACTATTTTCTTTTAATGTGGTGGGTTTTAAAAAAACCACCCACCCACCCACCCACCCCAAAAAGCGAACTTCTGCCCTTGTGTGAGATAAAATTAGCTTGGGAGATGTTGCAAGCAAGTGCTTTGATGGGGGGCTCCGGACCCAAAGGTGTGGTTGGCAAGGCCATCCAGAGATGGAGCTCTGGAGGTTTCAGTTTTGAGGACAGATTCAGAAATAGGATTGGGGAGGAGATTGGTAGGTGGAATAGATGGGAGCGAAGATTGTTTTGACTGCAAGCTCCTTAGGACTATCTCTTTTTACTTCTCTTGCTTTGTTAATTGGATGTGTGGAGGCACTTCTCCATGTTCCTCTCCTAGGAAAACTTGCTTTACAGAGCCTTCTCTGTGGTGGCGCCTCTTGTGGAATACCATCCTCTTGCAAACACTAACATAGTTATTTTGACATCAAGATAACACTTTGAAGATCCTTTTGCCAGTCAGCATAGGCAATGCTCAGCTTGGTGGAACAGTGGTCTGACTCAAGATATGTCAGTTTCCTAGGTTCCAATATAATACAGTCCTCCATTCAGACCCACGAAGACTAGAATCTTAGTTTACTTTTGTGGGCGGGTCATAGCTCAGTGGTAGAGCATCTGGCAATTGGTCCAAGGTTCAGTCCCTGGGATCTCCAAGTAGGTCTGAGAGTGTCCCCTCCCTGAAATCCTGGAAAGCTGCTGCCAATCAGTGTAGACAGTACTGACTGTACATGGACCAGTGGTCTGACTCTGTATAAGGCAGCTTCCTATGATGCTAAGCTTGGTTTGTTATCGCTGTATGCTGGTTATAAATTTTGTGCGAACTCTGCCCTGGTATCTGTACTGATGAAGGACGGGCTGATAAATCCTTCAAATATATAAAGTAAAATAGCCTAGGGATAGGGAGCCTGTGGCCCTCCCAGTGTTGCTGGACTACAGGCCCTATCATCCCTCACCATTGGCTATGCTGCCTGGGACTGATGGGAGTTGCAGTTCAGCGTCATCTGGATGGCCACAGCTTCTCCATCTGTGATATATTAGAAAATGGGAGCCGCAGCTCAGATACTTCTGGTTCACAGCTATGCCTTTGAATGGCCTGAACCAAATTTGCATGTTCTCAGTTTTATTTCCCTATGTGTGAATTGGGGATGATTATGGCAGGGTGAATGTGATAAGCAAGGTAAAGCGGGCAGTGTCATTTCCTTAGGGGATGTGGCCTCAACTGCATGTTTAAACAACAACTGGGTGAGGCATCCCTTGAATTTCTGAGCATGCTCTGCTCTTTGGCTTTCCATAAACCCTGCAAATAAGATCCTAGATCCTCAGTCAGCCTGTATCTGCCTGAGGGTGTGTTGGAAATGGCTGTTTTGAGCTGTGATCCACAAAGAGGTCCAAGCAGTCAGCCTATACAGCAGCTGTGCTCCCTTCCTCGAACTGATAGCATCCTGGATCTTTTCCCAGCTAGAGTTTTGAGTTGGGGTATCACCCCTGGATGCTACTTTTCAGCTGCCCAGCTGGTCATCTCATTAAATATACTGTGGGCAGCTTTGGTTAATGGGGGAGGTTTTGTAGGGTGATAGAGGGTAGGGTTGTGTCTACTTTATGGATTTTTAAAGTACAAATTATGCGCCTAATAAATTTTGCAACGCAGTATATACATTGCACAGACTGAGCAATTTCTCCACATTCTTGTAGACTAGTAACTTTTGTGGCGTTTTTGAAGGACTGCTGTTTATAAGTATTTGTTACTAGGTACTGGGTGACATTCTGTCTGTCTCTCATTGCAGAATGGGAATGGAAAGTGGGAAATGGGGAACTTTGACACTGAATAGAACTGCTTAGACATTGCAGAAACCAAACTTTTTGTTTTTTTAATTTCTTCTCAGCCGGCCTTGGGACATCCGGAGTCCAAGCCCAACACAAAGTCCAACATGCTACGAGGCCGCGGCCCAGTTACCTCCGCTGATGAGCAGCCACACATTGGGAACTACCGCTTGTTGAAGACGATTGGGAAGGGCAACTTCGCCAAGGTCAAACTGGCACGGCATGTCCTGACAGGGAAAGAGGTGAGAGAGGGGAAGCAAGAGCAGCGGGGGTCTTTTGCTTATGCAGGCAACCTCCAAAGATGTGAGGGAATGAGAGTCTAGTTGTCCAACTAACAATGCTTTTAAAAAGAGAGATGTGGGGAAATCAAATTCTCCAACCAGAAAAGCTGGCTTCTGTGTCCTGTCTTGGTGGTTTAGGTTAAAGCACAATCAGATCTGATTATCATAGTTCTTAGTGTTGGGCTTGGAGTTTCTAGGCTCAGCTGGGGTGCAGAAGTAGGAGAGGGACAGGCCGATGAATACCTGGAGTGAACGGGTAAGAAGTAGAAAGGTTAAGAAGGGAAGTGGGGAGACGCACACAAAATGTGTGTTTGTCTCACTTCCATAACCTTGAGGACTAGTAACTTTGCTTTACAAATAAGCCTCTCTTGTAACAGCAACAACAAAAGCCAAGGTTCTCAGGAGAGCTAGTTCTGCACCACCAGTAATAATTAACACTTTTGTGGTGCCTTTTTGAGTGTTGAAAGAACTTGCCTTACATTATTTCAGTCCACATAACAAGCCTGTAAGGTAGCACAGTGTTATTAACTGAAAAAAGATGGAATGGTTGAGGCTGAGAGGGGGTGGCCTAGTGAGCCACCTAGTGAGTTTGATGAGATTTAAGTGGATATATCTCCCATCCTTAGCTGCTGTGCTGCATCAGCACTCACTGCATAGTAATATATGTAAAGGGCCCTTTGCTTGTTGAGTCATGTATAAATTGATTTATAATCCTTCCTATCCACAAGGGCTCTGGGCAGATGACCTTTATAAGCACTGCGGCTTGGCCCCCAAGAGCCTCTTGAACGAGCATAAGGTGCAGTTAGTCAGCGGGGTCAGTTGTCACTGTCTCTGCTCCACCATTCTTCAACTCTGAAGAGGTCCCCTAACCTTCAGAAGCAGCTGGGTGGGTTGGGGTGGCATTCGTAGCTGCAGCAGTAAGAGGAGGAGACAGGAAAGCCCAATAGCACAAGTCAAAATCTCATTGTCATTCTTAGGTTTAAAGCCAGTACATTGCATCTTAAAAAAAACAAATATTCTCTCTCACTGCGTATGGATTTTGTTTTGTTTCTAAAACCACATTTTAGCAGTAAAAACATATGACTGAAATAAAATCTTTATCTCCGGCCACTGAAGTGCCTGTCCAAATGAGAACCCCGCTCCACTCTGAACCACACCAAAGTCATTGTACCAAAATAGCCTGTACTGGTTTTCCTCTTGAGACATTGGCATGCTGCGTCTACTGTACCACACTCCCTTCTGTTAGTGAAGCACTTTGAACATACCACACACCCCAAGCTTTTTCCAGGGCTAGTTCTGAGGAACAAACATGCAACCTTGGGGGGGAAAGCCAGCTTTTCCATTTGCAAGGCTTTCAGGTGCTCTCTACCTTCTCCTCCTGAGTATTTCAGCCAGTGTGGGGAGAGTTAGCAGTCCCCCCTTCCCACTGCTCATCAACTGTCTGTGGGACAGTTTTCTGGACTCTGGGTTATTTTTCCAAGCAGCCGAACTCAGCTTCCTGGAAGCTTGTAAGCACATGCTGCAGGCAATTCTCTGATGAGGATCCTTGAGGGAAATACCTGCTTCCACTGAAGAGAGCAGGAGTGGCTTGGCTGAAGCTGACCTGACCACCTTGTTTGTTCTTCCTCTACTAAATCACGTCCTGCATTCTTGTCTGAGGTCCCTGGCGACTCGGTGCCATACATATGGAAGGCTCTGTGTGAGGAATAGCCAGTTCTTTCCCCTTCTGGCTGGGTTTTCGCACATAGCATGCAATAAGGGCCATACTGGCACCTTTCCTGCCAGGACAGGCACTCACTGATGTAACAGGCAGGAAGGGCAGGCTGCGGGAAGCCTGATGGGAAATAAGGAAGAAGCCAAATGGCTTCATTAGGCGAATTGTAGCTTAGACTAAGCACCAGGCCCCAAGCTTTGGAGAGGAGGAAGCCTGAGATGTTTGGCTGCTCCTGATTATTAAGGGAAGGGCCATAGCTCAGTGACAGAGCACATGCTTTTCATGCAGAAGCTCCCAGATTCAGTACCTGGCATTGCTAGTAAATATTCCTGTCCAAAACCCTGGAACACCATGGCTTGATTCTGAGCCAGATGAATCAGTGGTCATATTCTGCTGCATGTGTAGACTAGGCCTCAGATTAAAGATTGTATTCAGTGTTTGTTGTATTCAGAGTTGACCCATTGAGATTAATGGACATGATGAACTTAGATCAATTAATTTCCATTGGCTATAACCCTAAAGGCTTTCTGTTGGCTTAAAGTCTTAGCGGTGAGTGAAACCACAGATATTCAACTTTTGGAGCTTCCCAGTTAGATTCCTGCAGTTCCTGGTGCCAAACAGCCACCCACCCACCCACCCCTTCTTTAAGGGGGAGTGAGTTGTAGGTGCATCCGCTTCCTCATTCCCATCTTAAAGCAGCTTTTGAGAAATTCTAGTTGCTGATCAGAGCTTTCCACAACTGACTGGTCATGTCTGATACAGCTCTGAAGTTACACTGGGGCGCCTAGTTTCGTACCTAACAGGGCTCTTTTAACTAGTGACTTTGTCACGCCTCTTGCCCTAGCGTCATGGAATGCTGTTCCTCCTGAATTTTTTTCCTAGGTGTAGCATTTGCCAGAATCTCTCTCTCTCTCTAAAAAAAACCAGGCTTTTAGTCCTCTATTTATGGAGGTACTTTAAAAGGCCTGCAGGGCAGTGGTTGCAAAGGGCCTGTCATTTCTGTAATTTGCACGACTGTCTGTTACTCCTGTGCATCTTTCACATTGCATCTTCCTGCTTACACCCCCCCCATCACCACTGCTCGGTGTTTTGTCACAGGAGCGCAGAATTCTGTTAAAAATGTGAAAGGTTGTGTTTTAGAGTAAACTATCCCTAATCAGCTAGCTTTGCACATGCATTTTAATTGACTTTCAGGGTTTTTAATTTTTAATTTTGATTTTATTTTTTTTGTGGTGCATGATTAGGGATTCCATGAAGTGGAATCAGAAGTCTTTTAAATGCAGGGGTGTGAGCTTGCCAGGGGAAACTGGAGCACTGATATTGCTTTGAGTCCCTGTGCTCGTTACAATCATTCCCTGCCACTTGACAAGAGCTGCAATTACCAGCCTTGTTCCGATCGACTGGAGTTGCAGCTGGCCTGGTTCCATCTCTTGTTTTGCGGGTTGCTGGCTATGTTTCTCTTAATGCTCACTCACACACCATCCCCAAACCCAACTAATTGAAATTATATAGGATTGTGGCATGTTTTACCTATGAGCGCCATAGGAAGCTGCCTCGTACTGAGTCAGACCGTTGGCCCATGTAGCTCAGTACTGACTACACTGACTGGCAGCAGGTTCAGACATTGTTGTCTGCCAGGAGATGCAGGCATTTCTGTTTTGTAAATGTAAGAATTGCCCTTGCTGGCTGACGCAAGGCCCATCTATTTGAACATCCATGGCAGGACCCTGGACTTGAGAGACGTCAAGATGGAAGGATATAGCTTGTATGCTGCCGCCCAGCTTCTGCCTTGTGTCTTAATTGCCCGTCCTTGTAACAGCCTGCCTAGAGAGCAATAGCTGTGCAGGCAGCCATTTAGCAAGTGGTGTAATGGGGAGTGTTTTGAACATCCACCCACTCAAGACAATACATCTCCCAGAGTGTCTTATTAGCACAGTGTCTGGGGAAACTGCAGCGGAATGCACCATGAGCCTTCTCTCTCTCTCTCTCTCTCTCTCTCTCTCTCTCTCTCTCTCTCTCTCTCTCTGTGTGTGTGTGTGTGTGTGTGTGTGTGTGTGTGTCTGCTTTAGGCTTGAAACAGTCATTGCAGAATGATTTCCCCTCCTAGATGGAACTGCCCATGTTAGGGCCAATGTGATGTCATGGCTGAGGGTGTGAGGACCTGGATCAAATGTTGCCTTGGCCACAAACCCCTGAGATGGCTTTAAGTCAGCCGCACTCCTCTGCATCATGGGCACAATTGTGCTATTGCTGATGCAATGTTGCATGCGAAAGCACTCTTGAACGCTCAGGGAAAATGCTGTGTAAATATGAAGAAGCACTGTGTCCTTGTAGCTACAGGGTTTGGGTTTAAATCTCTGCCCGCAAAAAAGCTTGCTGCTGACCTTCGGTCTTGGAGAGGACAGGAGGTATAAGAAAAGTAATAAATAGGAATAAGTAATCAAACAAACACTTTACTGATTCCATCTCTGAACCAAGCCCAGGTGGCCATGCAGTGTGCTGACCTGGTCCTGAAGCAGCTACCAACATTCTGCACTAAGACCCCAAAACCGTGGAAAACATTTGCAATCAGGGTTAATAGCCAGCCTCCTGAATGATTAGCCCCACTCTGATAGCATTACTGTTACACTTGACCAGTGTCCAGAAATGAGCTTCCAGAGTAACTTGGGTTCTTAAAATTCTTTTTTAAAAAGCTAGGGATGCTTCAAAGAAGCCCCTGTGTTCAGATACACGCTTACAGCTCACATACCTGGCTGGGGGGGCAATGGTGTTGTACCATCGAGAATTAGCAAATGCCCAGGTCACCTAATATGCATCCTTTACATCAGTTAAGAAGACAGATAACATGACCGTTCTTTGTGTCCTTCCATCCAGGTGGCTGTGAAAATAATTGATAAGACGCAGCTGAACTCCTCCAGCTTACAGAAGGTAAGGAGTGTGTGGGTAGTTTTGATTTTTATACACTTAACTGAGGGTCATTGTAGGATTGTGTGGCACGCTTTTGCTATCTCATTGGGTTTGCTCTTGTGAAGCTGCTCACTCCTTGTTCCACATACTGAGAGAGTAGGGACTTTGTATTTGTTTGTAAATGCACAAAAAGATTTCATACTGGTTTGGTGTTTGATGAAGTCTCTGTCATTGAGGTTTCCATGATGTCACAGAGTGGCTGAGCATTGGAGGCTCTGACTGCCATTGGCTATTGGACAGCTTTGGAAAGGAGTACTGGAGTAGAAGAATCCAGGGAGAAATAGAGGAGAGATGAGAGATACATGTGAAAATGTCCAAAGCTTGGAGCTCTGCATAAACATCCTGTCTCTGGGGAATGTCCAGTCCTGAAATTGGTGATCTGCTGACAACCTAGGATTCCCTTTCCCTTCTCCCAGCTGTCCAGACCCACTTCGTTCTTTTTTTCTTCTTCCTTGCCTTCAGCATGCTTCCTGCATCCTCTCCCTCTCTCCTTCATGATTCTTTGCCCAGGGCAGTGAAGCTCCCACACCCAAGACTAGGCACCCCCTGACAGCATTGCCCCATATCTGCTGGGCTGGATCCCTATCACCCCACATCTTTGCTAGCCCTGAACTTGGCATCACATATGGTGTCATGCTTAGGCCAGGTGAGTCTGACTTGGCCAAAAGAGCCTGGTGGGCCATATGGGGTTCTCTGGTGGGCTTAATTGGGGGCAGAGGTTACACATCTCCACCCTATATCAAAACATTTAGCCCTGTACAGATGGCAGAGGCGCTGTTTACCTTTTTCCCTCCTCCTCCCTGCATTGGGGAAAACTGTTCAGCCTGATAAAAGGTAAGGCCAGAGAGCAAGCAATTCAGCGCAGACTGATCTGTCCTCCTCCACCTCCCCTCCCCTCCTTTCTCTCCATCTGACCCTTTGTCAGCCCAGAGAAGCATCTTAGCTCCTCCTCCTCTACTTGGCTGCCCTTTGATATAATCCCCCACCTCTCATCAGAGTTGGGCTTGTGTCTGGCTGAGACCCGATATTAGCCTCCCCGTGTCCCCACAGTGGTTTGCGCACAACCTGCAGACATTGCACCTGTCAGCAGCAGCAGCCAGTGGCTAAAGTGATGACCGCAGAGCCAGTTGGACTTTGGGTCCTGTTTGTTTCCGGGGCTGACACAGCCAGCCAGTCCCACTGTGACTCTGCTTGGCAGTAGCAGCAGCAGCTGCTGACGCGGCCTTGTAAACAAAAGGCTGAGCGAGCCAGCTGGGTTTTCTGTTTCTGCAGCAGCTCCCTGGATCTCAGAGCAGAAGCTTCCCTCTCCAGCCCAGATTGCTTTGCGTTGCCTTCCCACCTGCTGAAGCTTTCAGCACTGCCTTTCAGCTTGCTGGTGGCTGAAGGTGGGGCTTGACCTCTCTTTCCCCGGCAGCAGACCAGCTTGGAATTGCTTCCCTTGAGCAGTTTGGTTCTGCTTTGGAGGCTTCATGGTGGTGGCTGGCTTGCCAAGAGAAGCCCGTTCTATCCACAAGAGGCTGGTCCTCGCAACAGCTAAAAGAGGCCACAAAGTGACCAACCCCATATGCTGTGGCTGCAATTGAGAGCAAACTTGAAGCAGCAGAAACATTGCAGGGAGAATAAACTCCAGGAGGGTCAAAGGTTTTTCTCCCAGCCTTCCCCAGTGACCAAATTTATGAGCATTGCATGCCAATCCCAGTGCTTGGAAGTGTCCTGCTGAGAATAACTCTGGGGTATTAGTTGAGGCTTTAGGTTTCTAGTGGCAGCTGTATTGTAAACTTCAGAGCATGGCCTCCCCATGTGAAGTGCTGTTATTCTGAGGATTTTTGCTTCCTCTCTTCTCCCTATGTCTTAAAAAAGGTTGTTTATCCCTTCTAGTTCACAGAGTGCACCCAAAGCTAGTGGCTGGGCTGTGGGTCAGTATAGTTCACTCAGTATAGTTCACTGCCCCTTATCCTGACACTTGTGTTGCTATTACCAATTGCTTGCAAAAAATTCTAGACCACCAACATTAAGAAAAAAATACCATGGAGGTTCACATTATAAAATCAATAATAAGATTATGTTCCTGAATCAATTGCAGACACCCCCCCTCTCTCCATTTCTTCCCTGCTTTTGTCTTGATCTCTGTCCCACCTACCACCCAGCCTAGGATGGGACAAACTATACCATATTTTGTCTGAAAAGGGCATTTTGTGTAATAAGACTCAGTAATGAAAAATAAAGAGACATTAAGTTGCATATCTTCTTACTTGTTCCTTTAAAATATTTATAATCTACTCTGCTGTCCATTGAGATCTGCAAGGTAACATGATGGCCCTTTCAATTTTGCAGGATTTTGCCTGCTTCTCGGCCCAAACCATCCCTGCTTCAGGTGAATGATTTGCTCTCACTCCCTCAGCCAGCACAGGAGAGAGATGCATTACTGAAGGCTGGACATGGCAGCTTTCTTTCTTTCTTTCTTTCTTTCTTTCTTTCTTTCTTTCTTTCTTTCTTTCTTTCTTTCTTTCTTTCTAGCATGCTGCTCTGTTGGTAGCAAGGTAGCCGTCCCCATGTTGCTTCCCAAATGTTCCTTCTGCTGTTCCCACCGCAGGCGCCTGGACTGCGTAGGTGTCACAAGCACATGGACTCCTCCACGAGAGGAAGGAATGTTGCTGCAAAGATAAATCCCTTCTCTCCCTCTCTCAGTCAGCTGCAATGGGTTTTTCTCAAAAGCCTTCCCCCGAAAGAAACCCTTTATAGCTTTCTTCCTCAGGATGATGGATGGGGACCAGCATGCTCAATGTACTTGAGAGAGGATGGCTGCCCAGGAGGGCAGTTCCTGTTTGCACTGGTGTGGGCTCACTTGAAACAGTTCAGGCCTTCCTGTGGTTAACCTCTCGCTGGTTAGCAACCATCTTGCAAACATGCCAGTCATTCCCCCACAGTGCTGCTCTGCAGACCGGGAGGTGCCTTGAAAGGCATCATTGCAACTGCCTAGGTGGGTGGAGGAAGAGTGTAGAGCTAGTGCTTATGCTGGGCCTTAGGCAAAGTGTTGTTCAAGTTAGACAAAATCCTGGAGGGTAAGGCTTCTGTCAGTGGCTGCTGGCCACAACGGCTGTGTTCTCTCTCTCTCTCCACTCTCAGAGGCAACCGGTTGCTGAGAATCATAAGTGGGGAGAGTCGTTGTTTTACTAGGGTCTTGCTTGCATGTGGTTGGCCGCTTTAAGAACAGAGTGCTGAGATGGGTCTTTGTCCTGGTCCGGTAGGGGTCTTCATCTGTTCCTCTCCTCATTCATAATCCTCTATCTCAGTGCCACAGGCCCCACCCAAGTGGCCAGGTTTCAGCCAATCGGGAAAACGTCTCGTATGTGCAATGCTCTGTCAACACCTGTCAGCTGCATCCCCTTCTTGAGCCAAAAGTGCTTTCTGCTTACATTGGTTGGGCATCCGGTGCGCCTGGCCCAGAAGCCTCCTTGCTGGCAGACTGGGCAGACATCTGCCTGTCTAGTGGGCTGCCAGCTTTGCCATATCTCCCAGACGCCTCCTCCTCGCCTTCTTGGTTTCAGAAGTAATTTATAGAGCTCTTCCCAGGAACGGCCATTGGGGATCTCACCAGCTACTTAATTGCTGTGGACTCAAAGCTGAGGGAACTGAATCATTGGAAATCCAGCAGGGCCAGGCAGGCAGTGTCTAGGGTCTTGCAGAAACTACTCATGCAGCCAGCGTGCTTGTAGGGTTCCTCCTTCCCCCAACTATGCTGTGTGGTTTTTTTTAGCCTGTGTGTGCTCTGCAACTCCATCCAAGAGCATGGAAGCTAAAATGCAGCCCTCAAGGTTGCAGGATTGAGGTGGAGCTATACTGGGAGTCAGGGCAGAGCAGGGTGCTGACCCCTCCCCAAGATTGGGGTGGTTTTTCATCTTCAGAGCCCATCGCTATCTTGTCCTTCCCTCACATGTCAGAGTCCTCAACATCTAGGCACACGGGTTAGGAACTGGGGCGGGGGTAGAAGCCGGCAGCTGGAATATCCATCTGCCTCCAGCTTCTGGACCAAGGCAGGATCTGAGCTGTGAGCTGGTAGTGGTGTTTTTCCCCCGGCAGCAAAGGGATTTATTTTTCTGAACAGCTGCTCCTGGGCTTGGGAGGGTGGGGGTCTTCCCTCCTGCATCAGCCCAAGCATCTGTTCTTTGCGCTAAGGAGATGAAGTGTCACAGGAGACCCGCCCTTTAGGGCTGCAGAGCCAACTGCCTGATGTTCGCCAACCAGATCCTGAGCAGAAAACCCTTTTCTCCCCACCCCCCGCCACATCCTTTTATAAATAAAGGAAATATTATAGGGAAGTTACACTCCTTATTTATCATAACTATGTTGAGTTTGAACCTGGCCCCTTCAATCTCCTGTCTCAAGCCGATGCCGGGCAGGGCTGGGGGAGAGCTGTGTGTTCGCCACCCCCACATATCCCTCCGGCTCAATTATTAGCGGCTTATTACCCAGGCTCATTGCAGGCAATCGGATTGCCTTTTTTTAATTAACAGATTACTGTAACACATTATCCTTAAAAAATGTCTAATCCAAGGAGAACAAAGATTGGGGCAAGGTTGTGGGAGGGAGGGCAGGTTCTGACCAAGCTTGAGGTTTTGGAGAATGTGATATTTGGCAGTTTTTTGGAGTGTAGAACGGACCTCCAAAGACCACCCCATTCAGCCACTTCCTGCAAGGTTGGAGCATCCGGCCAGTTGCCCCAGATGTCTTTAAGCCAGGCTTTTCCCAATCTGGGGCTGATGCAAGTTGTACTCCACAGCATCAGGCAGCTGCCAGGTTGGGAAAGACTTAAGCTAAGGGGCATAGGACTGTTTGTGCCTGTGTAAATCCACCTGCATTGATCCTTCTGTTTCTGCTCTGCTCTTCTGTTTCTGCAGCTCTTCCGGGAAGTGCGAATAATGAAGGTTTTGAATCATCCTAATATAGGTGAGCCCCCTTCCATTCCCCCTTCCCCTCCCTTTTGCCACTGGATTTTGATGTACTTAAACAGTATATTCTGACCTGTAAGGCACTTAATTTCCAAAAGGGTAATTGAGAGAGAGTCCCTGAGGCTTTCCTACCTCTGTGGCAATTCTTCTGAAAGCCTTTAAGTGAGCGGCTGTTGCTGCTTCGTCATGCGGCAGTGAATTCCACACATTAATTACCTCTAATGTTCAGGAGTGCTCCCTCTTTGTCCTCACTGAACGAACTGCCAGGCCATTTCATTACGCAGGAGAGAGGAAGAGCACTTTCTCTCTGAGCCTTTTGTAATTTTTTGTAGTCTGCCTCCGCCTTCCCCGCCCTTAAAAATCTTCTGTCCTCTTGTCTTGCAGTTAAATTATTTGAAGTAATAGAGACAGAGAAGACACTGTACCTCGTCATGGAGTATGCCAGTGGGGGTGAGTGTTTGATCTGAAGCCTCTTTGAAAGACACGTTGTGGGGAACCTTATTCCGAGAGTCTATGTGGTGTATTTCAATATATTCGTAGCTTACTTTCCCCAGATTGTGCTGGACTGCGGCTTCCATCGTCCTCATCCAGTTTAACCCGGTGGTCAGGGATTATGGGAGTTGTAGGTTAACAGCATTTGGGGGCCCAGGTTTAAGAACAATGGCATATTTGGTTTCAATTGTCAGACTGGGGTGACCAAGGTTCAAATCCTCACTCAGCCAGGAAGCTCATTGGGTGACCAGGCTCTTTCTCACACACACATACTCTCTCTGACCTACCTCATAGGGTTGTCAGGAGGATAGAATGGAGGGGCTTCTCCTGAGCTCTTTAAATGAAGAATGAGATATATCCCTAGATCTGTCACATTCTTCTCCCAGTTCTCCCCTTTCGGCTCCAGAGACAGAAGGAGAATCACAGGGTGGGGTCACAGCTAGCTTCACCTTCTCCCTCATCACATAATTTGGGAGGTGAGACATGTATCCTGTGACATACTAGTTATAGAATGGAAGGTGCACTGAGTCAGGTCAGTGACCCATCTTAGCTCAGGACCATCTACTTAACCGGCAGTGGCTCACAAGGGGGCTTTTTCCCATAGACAGCAAGGTGTGCACTGATAGTGTTGTATGCCATTTAGTACAGTAAGTACATGCAGGCACACCTCATCTTATTGCACTTATTGCAGCTTATTTCAGGCACAGCTACAGGCAGCTTGGCTGCTTCCAGGAGAAGGAAGCCCCCTGCCGCTGTCGCCCCTCTCCTGGCCATGGGAGTGGAGCTGGCTAGGGCTGGAGATGGGTTTTCCCCGTCCCGCCACTGCAGTCAGGTGGACCTGGCTTAATAGACTGCAGTATAGTGTAGTCATAAGTTTTGTATGCCCTGGGAAACAAAATTGTGTGGCTCACTTTATTGCGATATTTGCTTCATTGCGGCGGTCTGGAACCAAACCCGCAACATCTCCGAGGTGTGCCTGTAAATGTTCTAAATACCACATCTTAGAGGGGTTTTTTGAAAGTGCCTATCTGTAGGTAAGTTTTATCTCCCTCCTCTTTCTTCCCCCACCCCCTGGTGACTCTTGACAGCGGCTTTGCCGAGTTTAAGGGTTGCCCCCTTTTTTTTTTTTAAGCAGGCTCTGAATCTCTGGAGGCAACCTTGCCAGTTTTGTGCAAATGTCACGCGGTCTGTCGGGAAACACAAAGGCCTTTAGAAATGCCATTGCCATTACTGGTGGGCCCTAGACAATTGCAGGAGATGGACGGAACGCATCCTACTCACTAGGCAGGCAGTGCCTGGAGACAGCCGTCCGTGGGGCATGGCTCTCTTTCAAGATGAAGCTGTAGTGACTTATGGAAAGACTCATTGTAATATAGGAAGCTGCCTTATACCAGCCTCGACTATGTGGGGCTGTCTAGTCCAGTGCAGGGTCCCTGGCAGAGAAAAAGTGTCTCTCCCTTTACCTGATACTTTGAACCTGGGATCTACTGCATGCCAAGCCGGTGAATGCTGCTTCCTTCTTTGGAACATAGGTAACTGCCCAATACTATGCCAAGCTATTTGTTCATCCAGCACAGTCAACTGTGGGAGGAATTTCCAGTCACTCTGTCAGCATAATCATGTCAGCTTGCCAGACAGAACCACCTTCCCTCTCCTCCCCGCTCCCCATATGCTGGTCTGGGGTTTTGTCTGACCCCCACCCCAAGCCAATTTCAGGGGTGCATGGGGGAGGAGATGGGGGGAAGCCCCATTGTGCAAACCATTGCTCAGGGTTTCCACTGGGAGAACTCAGGTGAATCTTGCTCTCTGACTGGCAGTGGTTCTCCAGTTGTCTCGTGCAAAGAAAGGTCCTTCCCCATCACCTGCTGCCTTCCTATTTAATTGGAGATAATGAGGGTTGAACCTGCCACTGAGCTCTTGTCCCTTCCTTAGAACACAGCCTGGCCTGGTATTTATCTGTCTATCCCAGTACTCTGAACAGCATTTCACTAGGGCAGGCACCCCCAAACTCTGCCCTCAAGCTGTTTTGGGACTACAGTTCCCATCATCCCTGACCACTGGTCCTGTTAGCTGGGGATGATGGGAGTTGTAGTCCCAAAACAGCTGGAGGGCCGAGTTTGGGGATGCCTGCTCTAGGGTCTGTAACAGAGCAGAGGCTTCCCCATCACTTATCTGATCCTTCAAACACACACACACACACACACACACACAAAGTGGCAATGACTGGGATTGAATCCAGGGTCTTGTTCGTGTCAAGCAAGTGTTCTACTACTGAGCTATGGTGAGAGAAGTGGCTGAGACTTCTGAAAAGTACAGCTGGACTGGTGTGCTCTGCTCCTCCAGGCCCAAGTGGAATCTGCTCCTGAGTTTTGTTATTCTCGGTGATGGCAAAAAATGAGGGTGGAGGAGGCACAGGATGGAGGGCAGTGTTCTAAGTCCTTTCCTCTGACATCCCCCACACACAACCTCAGCACACACACAAGCTCAGCGTCAGAGTTTCAGCGGAACTCCCACGTAACATTATGCTTCCCTCTTGCGCCCCCTGCAGGTGAGGTGTTCGACTATTTAGTAGCCCATGGAAGAATGAAAGAGAAAGAAGCACGGGCAAAATTCCGACAGGTTGGTGCTGCACCCTTCTTGAACTGCGGGAAGCAAACAGTGTTTATAGGGCCCCAGCAGCTGCCCAGCAAATATGAAAGTGGGGCTTGATGCTTTCTGTGGTGAAGATCCATGTAATTCCACCCCCCGCCCCCCAGCAGTTCTATTATTCACACACAGCCCACAGGCATATGGGGATACATTGCAGAAAATCGATTCCTGCACTTCTGGGGACTGTGATTAAAGGGCACTGCATCTGGATTGCGTGTGTCATGAAGCAACACAAACCTCCCCCCTGACCTCTCTGTCCTCTTGTCTTCCAGATAGTTTCTGCTGTGCAGTACTGTCACCAAAAATTCATTGTACATAGAGACTTGAAGGTGAGTATAAATGCTGAAAATGCTCTTGTAAAGCTCTGTGTTTACCCTGTGCAAAAGCTGGATTTCCCGTTGGAGGTAAAACGTGGTGTTGTTGGCCCGTTGGCTTCCCCAGCCTGACTTGCCTTTCGCCTCCCTTTGCAGGCAGAGAACCTGCTCTTAGATGCCGACATGAACATTAAAATTGCAGACTTCGGTTTCAGCAATGAGTTCACGTTTGGCAACAAGCTTGACACCTTCTGCGGGAGCCCCCCGTACGCTGCCCCTGAGCTTTTCCAGGGCAAGAAGTACGACGGCCCCGAGGTGGACGTCTGGAGCCTAGGAGTTATCCTTTACACACTGGTCAGCGGCTCCCTGCCCTTTGATGGGCAGAACCTCAAGGTAAGGGAGTTGTGGAGGGCGAGGAGATGGTTTACAGCTTCAAGGGGTTGGCAGCACAATTGCGACTTGAGGCTGGCTGTCCCAGTATTGAGGGAACAACCTCTGTGGATTCCCAGTTGTGTGAGTCAGACTGAGCTGTGGAAGAAGTTGCCTCGGCAATGGACCAGAGCCGGCCAAAGGCTTCAGGGCCTTCCAGTATCTCCACTCCCTTCTGTGCATGTGTGTTAGGATCAGGGCATCTTCCCTTAGAACAGGTATAGGGAGCCTTTTGCTCTCCAGATGTTGCTGAGCTATCTCTCTTGGTCACTGGCCATGCTTGCTGTAGCCAATGCGAATTGTTTTTTTTATATATATAATAATATTTATTAGTTTTCCAACAAATTGAACACAACACTACAAAAATCCAAAAAAGAAAAAAACATACAATAATACAATACAATACTTTTAAAAAAAACAAAAAACCCTGCAAAACACTAACATACAATTAACAAAACAAAACAAAAACCATTTAAAACACAGTCCAATTTCAATATCTTATCTTTCTTTCACTAATTTCCACGGCCTCCTCACACCTCCCTTTTCGTATTCCACTTCTATTAATTGTTTCAGCAATTCCTTTCCATCATCCTCTGTTTTCTATCCTATAATTGTCTTAACACATTCTAACCTTATTTTTCCCTTTAATGCTCTATTAATCTATTTATACTTAATTCCTTATGACATTTCTACTAAAGCCATATAACTTCGTTCCATCATTTTTCTAACATTCATTAATTTTACAGTATTTCTGTAAATAGTCTTTAAACTTTTTCCAGTCTTCTTCCACTGACTCTTCTCCCTGGTCTCGGATTCTGCCAGTCATTTCCGCCAATTCCATGTAGTCCATCAACTTCATCTGCCATTCTTCCAATGCGAATTGTTGTTCTGCAACATCTGGAGGGTCAAAGGCTCCCCTGCATCTGCAATTGAGTTACGTGCGGAATTGCTGCTCATTCCCTCCTCTTTCCCTCTGCAGGAGCTGCGAGAACGGGTCTTGAGGGGGAAGTACCGGATCCCCTTCTACATGTCCACGGACTGTGAGAACCTGCTGAAAAAATTCCTCATCCTCAACCCTAGCAAGAGAGGCACTTTAGAGGTGAGGAGACAGGACCGGGGACCAGGTGGGCTGGGCAGGAGGGAGGCCGGCATCCGCTTGTGGAATCGTACACCACCCATCATTTTGGAGCTCCTGCTGTCGTGCCATCTAGTCCTAGGAAGGTGCCTTCTTCCAAAGCGGATCATTGAGCCGTCAAGTTCAGTATTGTCTCTACAGACTGGCAGAACCTCTCCCAAGGTTTCAGACTAGGAGTCTTTCCCAGTTCTGTCCAGAGTTGCCAGGGATGAAACCTGAGGCCTAGCTTGTTCTCACTGGTGAAGTGGTAGCAGTTTTCCATACAGGGCAAGACAGGTCCCTGGGCAGCTCCCGGTGGACTCTGCTGACTGAGCTATGGAAGATGCTGCCTCAGCAAAGGACCAGAGTCAATCCCAAAACTTTAGAAGGCTGACACAGCCTTCTAGTGGTTCCCCACTCCGATTAAAGCTATCTAGAATTGGGACACGATTCTGTGGCCACATGCTGCTGGGCAGCTGCTGAGCAAGAGATGTTACAAGGGACTCATCCCTAGAGTTTGAGGGTGATGGGAGAGCCAAGATGGTGCAGTAGTGGGTTGCTGAGGGCTCCCTCCCCCAAGTGGGGTGATTTGTGAGCTATCTGAATCAGTCCTCCTGGGACAACACTGGGGTTTGGATGCCAGGGACATGAGAGGACTTATTGAATGCAAAATATGTGCTGTCATTGCCTTAAATCAGTTGTTTTGGCTAGACCCCCCCTCATGGAACCCATTCCCTCCTGCCCTGCCTCCCCACCCCACCCCCAAAAATAAAAAAAAATTCTGAGAAGTATGTGAAGACTTCCTTCTTTGGATGCCTTTAAGAGATTCCCTCCCTTTCTCTCTCTGATGAGATCCTTTCCCAAATACTTATGCTTCATTCACCCGTTAATGCTTTTCAGTTTGCGCTCTTGGAAACAAAATAACAAAACCACTTTCGGTGTATACGGAAAACGTAATGTGTGAATGTACCCTTTGACAGTATTTGGTTAAGCAAGTGTATTTTGGGCAGTTGCTTAACCAACTCTGCATCCAGGTTTTGCCCTTGGTTTTTAAGTCTTAGAATTGTGCCAGCGCTGCCTCAGTTTTTAGAAGGCGTATCCAAGTCCATGCTGGTAGGAAAGCCCTGTCCTCGCAAGCAGTGTGCGGTCTTGTTTGTTTTTAGTTTTATTTTCCAAAAGGCGGTTTTCCTTGCCTCCAGTGCTAGCGTGAAGAGGGCCTGGTTCATTTCCCAGCGGTTGGCTCCTGCCTTTGTCTGGCTGGGCTGCAGTGCCCCCTGCCATCCGAAACTGCCTTTCTGCGTAGGCAAGTAATTAAGAAGCCCCGCCAGCCATTCTCTTGAATAGGAGAGGGAAGTTCCTTGCTGTCTGGTGCTGGAATGCCATGGCCCCTGCTGCTCTCTGCCTGCAAGCAACAATTTTAACTGTGGGCTTCAGGGATGCAGAAGGGGAAGTGCAGGGAAGAGTGCATTAAGGGGGGCAGTTGGGTTTGTACTTGGGTGTGGGCGGAGACAAGGCAAGACACACGCATGAATACACACACACACACACACACACTCCATTCTCTGTGATACACAGAGGGAGGGTGCTGTGTTGATTTCATGCGAGAGGCAAGGAGAAGGTCTTGGCAGATCACTGGAGCAGCAAGCTGGGGTTTCCAGTCAACGGTGCAAATTGCATGGTTTTTCTTCCTGGTTTGGTTTGTGTGTAGCAGGTGTGGGGAACCTCTGTGACGGGAGTTGTAGTTCAGCGACATATGGAGAGCCAAAGCTTGCCTACACCTTGTTTATAGAATAAAATAACCTATTTCATTCATTCATTATAAAAATCTCTATCCCCACCCCACCCCCAAATAAGAGTGACTTGCAACAATAGAGTATATGTACAATGGGCAATATTCATTGTCAGTCATACTTTGAGTAGACCCATTGAAATCAGTGGACTTCATTAACTCAGTGGGTTTACTCTGAGTCTGACTTAGTTGGGTATTGCCCAAGAAAATCCAAATCTGCACAATACATCAGACAACCGCCAAAAAAGCCCAGCATAATAAAAAAGCCAAAAATATCAAAATCCACAAAGACAGCAATTCATAAAGCTCATCAGATAAAGTGAAGAAGCAGAGAAAGGAAGATTGATATTAGGCAGACACCTTTGCTGTATATATATTTAGTTGCCTGCTGAAACCTTTTTTTTAATTTTAGCAATCCTAACCAGACATCTAATTTAGTTACCTATATTCATAAAAGCCTATCTGATTTTTATTTCTAATTATAATTATTTCATGCTTACATGTTTTCATAGATTTTTTTTGATTTTTTTTAGTTATTTGCAGTTTTATTATGTACACTAGCTGGGAGAGCTTGCTGATTATGCCATGGTCTTTCACGAATTAATCATGGGCTTGGGTGGCGACATGGATTGCATTACCCAGACTTGCGGAGAGAGGGAGAGGTGGGCCAGATCTCCTCACAGTTGGGAGCTTGCTGTGAACATTGGGGAGAGAGGTGTGTGCAGAGCCTGCATTTTGCACAAGTGGTTGCAGTTTTCCTATAGGAAACTCTTCCAGCTACGCAACTGGGACCATCCTCGCCGAAACATTAAAAAGGAAGAAAGCACTCCTCTGCGCTATTGTCACCGCCACCCCCCCACATACTGAGCCAACGTTTCCCCTTCCCCTCTCCATAGCAAATCATGAAAGACCGCTGGATGAATGTGGGTCACGAAGACGATGAACTGAAGCCTTACGTGGAGCCTCTGCCTGACTACAAGGATCCCCGGCGGACAGGTGTGTCACTGAGGCGGGGTGGGTGATTGGGTGGCCCTGCAATGGTGACTTGCTGCTGCGCAAGATCTTCCCGGGCAAGCGCTTGGCTATCGTTTCCCTGCAGGGCCACCCACAGATTTCCCTCCCTCCCTCCATGCATCTTTTAAACACAGTTTTATTTATTTATTCACCCTTCAAGGCGCTCTGACCGTCTCTCTCCTTTCCCTGTGTGTGCGTGCTCCCTTCCGTTGTCCTGCAGAACTCATGATATCCATGGGATATACCCGGGAGGAAATCCAGGACTCCTTAGTCAGCCAGAAGTATAACGAAGTCATGGCTACATATCTGCTGCTAGGATACAAAAATTCAGAGGTGAGTTCCTTGTCTGTTTGTGTGCGTATGTGGCTTCCGTTTGAGGGACTGAGCTGCAAACATCTGGGTGTTCGCATGTCTTCAGCGGTAGCACTTCCCCATTGAAGCTCCATCAGTGGAAAGGCACTGGCGTGAAACTCCCAAGTGCAAAAGCACAGTTCTGAATCTGTCCCTTTGGGTGTCTGCGGCAGAGGTTGGTGCCCCCTGGGACTGGCAGGGCGGAAGGTAGAGAGGACAACAGGAGGTGGAGGCAGAGTCAGTGACTGGCGGAGCCGTCAAATTCTACTTTGGTCACCATCCTCCTCCTCCTCCCTGCCGAGTCCCGCAAGGACAGCATCGAGACCAAGGAGGAGGAAGTCAGCAGGCAGGGGCACCATCTGGACTGGTTGTAGGTAGGAAGGCAGCCAAGAGCAGGCTGGCTGTGGGCAGGCTAAGGTTGGTGGGTGGTGCCCCAGTCGCCCTGATAAACCAGCCTCTACTAGATGCCTGCCTTCCCTGTTGATTGCTTAGAATCATAGAATCGTAGCATTGGAAGGGGCCCTGAGAGTCATCTAAACCAATCCCCTGCAGTGCAGGAATTCTGCCCACAGCCATCCCTGGATGGGCTCAAACCACCAACCTTCTGGTTAACAGCCAAAAGCCCTAACCCATTGAACCACGAAGAGGCTTGTTGTTGGAGTTTATGGCAACCTCGTCTGTTGAGGTGTGCAGACTTCCAGTGGCTTTGCATCTGAAACCTATATTGTAGCGTTGTTGGGGGTACCAGTTGAACAGAATTTAAGAGCAAGCTTAATACTACTGGAGACCATCTGAAATTAGATATATTGTCATGAACACACCTGATTGGGGGAACCTCTGGCCCTCCAGAGGTTGCAGAACTGCAACTTGCCTCAGCACCAGTGAGCATGGCCAATGGCTAGGGCTGATGAGAGTTGTAGTTCAGCAACCTCTGGAGGGCCGGAGGTTCCCCACACCTGATGCAGAATGAACTGCACTATTTCAGTCTGCAGTTGGGTGATGGCTTTTTTCAAATGCCCCTTAAATTTTTGCTCGCAGTGATCTTTGTTTTTTAAAAAATAATGTATCACAAAGTGAGCAGGCTGGGTTAGGATCTTTCTCCTAGGATTTTTTGTTGTTTTTTTTAGCACAGAGGATCCTCCAAAATACGTATCTCTTCCTTGAGCCTGAAATGGTATAATCTGTTCTGCCACATTCATTTGGCTGTTGAGCAGGGCAGGGTGGTGGGCAGGCTGCAGTTTGGCTCAAGGAGGGACTGCGCTTTGTATCTCGGAATGTTCACAAGCACACCCCAATTTCTATTTTCACCCTCCAGCAGCAACTGTTAAGAACTCCTATTCTCCTCTTCCTCAGCCAAGAGTAGAGATCATATAAATAATGTGTGTATGTTCTTCATCTCTGATATAAATAAATGATGACATGAATGGAATGCCTGGGTCAGAGCTTCACCCACTGAGTGAGCCTCTTCTCCCCCCGCCCTCGTGCTCCTGCCTGATCTCTTCCAGCTTGACAACGATAGCATTACCCTGAAGCCACGGACCCAACCCGAACTTGCCAACAGCACCGCCCCCTCCCCGTCGCACAAGGTACAGCGCAGTGTATCAGCCAACCCCAAGCAACGCCGCTTAAGCGACCAGGGTGAGTCATCCCACCACCACCACATTTCTTGCTCAGGGGGGACCACAGTGAGGCTTCCCTGCCATTACAGTGGAACCTCGGTTTTTAAATGTAATCGGTTCCGGAAGAACGTTTGAATTCCGAAATGTTCGAAAACTCAGAAGTCTCAAAACAGAAAAATCAATGCGGAAGCTGCCTCAGAAGTTCATCTTCTGAGGCATGTTCGAATACGGAAGCAGCTACTTCCGGGTTTTCAGTGTTCGAGTTTCGAAACGTTCGTCAACAGAGATGTTCAAAACCTGATGTTCCACTGTATTACAATTATTACTACTGCTACTTCTACTACTACTGTTACTACTCTGCTCATCTGACTGGGTCTGCCTATTCAACAAGGAGGCATAATTTTTTTGATGTGAGATGGGGAATGTGCATCCGTACGGGCTATTTTACAACATTCACCAGGCACTGCGGGGACTAAGATTCCGAGATCCAGCAACGAGAGCTGGAAAACTAAACTGGGATGTTTGTGTGTGTGTTTTTAATTACACGGTTATATTTTCCCTCCTGCTTTATGTAGCTCATGACTGCAGCCATGCAGGTTATTTAAAACTCCTGACGGTTTTTAATCTCCCTCTCCCCGCATTGGGGTGCAGGGAATTTTCCAGTTGCTCATTGACTCCTTAGAAGAGAGATTCCTTCCTTCCTTCCTTCCTTCCTTCCTTCCTTCCTTCCTTCCTTCCTTCCTTCCTTCCTTCCTTCCTTCCACACCTGTGAAACAGGGTGCTGCCCAGAAAACACAAGCTTCCCCTTGCTGGGTATCCCTTCCCCAAACCAGACCTCACCACGCTGACTCTTCTTCTCTCTTCCCCCACTCCCTGGCCCTCTCTTCTTCCCACCACAGTACCCACCATCCCAACATCCTCCTCGTACTCCAAGAAAACACAGGCAGCCAATGCAGAGAACAAGCGGCCTGAAGAGGAGCGGGAGGCTGGGCGCAACAAGGCCAGCAGCACGGTGAAAGTGCCTGCCAGCCCCCTGCCCAGCCTCGAGAGGAAGAAGAGCACCCCCACACCTTCCACAGTTAGTCCTTTCTTGCTCTGGGGCAGGTGGGGAGGGACTCTTGTCTTGTTGTGGCCTCTTCATGTTTATGACGCAGGGAGCTGCGCTTCCGGGTCAGAGGGTTGCTGCAGCAGGGGGGGGGGGGACGTGCCATTACAGCACACGAGGAGCTGCTTCCCAGGAGCTGGCCCTCAAATGAATCCTGCCTCTGAACACAGAGGTTCTGTTCAGCTGTCAGCGGGGGTGAAGGGAACCAGGGCATGCTTCTTAGAGTTTAGAGGAGGAGTTTGAGGATTGGAAGACCACAAAAAAGAGGGGGTGCAGAATTAAAGTTTGGGGAAAGTACAGCATCTCCGGGCAGAACTGGGAATGACTCCTGGTCTGAAACTCTGGAGAATTCTAGACAATACTGAGCTAGATGGACCTCAGTAGGTCATTCTCAGTATAAGGCAGCCTCCTGTTTTGGGGGAAAGGGCCAATAAGTGGTAGAACATATGTACTGCATGCAGAAGGTCCCAGGTTCAATCCCTGGTATCTCCAGGTAGGCTTGGGAAAGATCCCCTGCCTCCCTTGCAGCCTCTTGAGAGCTGCTGACAGGGTAGACAATATACTGAGCTAGATCAGTATTTTCCAAACTTGGGTCTCCAGCTGCCTTTGGACTACAATTCCCATCATCCCTGACCACTGGTCCTGCTATCTAGGGATGATGGGAATTGTAGTCCAAAAACAGCTAGAGACCCAAGTTTGGGAAACACTGAGCTTGATGGACCCTTACGCGTCTCTCTTGTGTAAGGCAGCTTCCTCTACCCCTATGTTATGACTCTCTGGGAGACCTGGGTGCTGACTCAGGTAGCCTAGCTCAGGTAGTCTCTGCAGAAGCAGCAGGCTGGAGCCGCTTCACTCCCTTTCTCTTTCTCTGAAGCGTGGGCAGTGAATGGCTTGTGCTCACTCGGTGTCTCTACCCCTCTGCAGAACAGCGTCCTGTCAACCAGCACAAACCGGAGCCGCAACTCCCCCATGCTGGACCGGGCCAGTTTGGGCCAGAACTCCATCCAGAACGGCAAAGATAGGTAAGGGCTTGGAGCCCAGGCCAACTTCGTCATGTTGCTTGCCAGGTGAAGACATAAAGATGCACTAGGAAGAGAAAACTTCAGTAGCAGAGTGGTGTCCAGCTGTTTTGGGGCAGCTTTGCAGGTGGAGCAAAATGCAGGTGGCTGCACAGGGCTGTTTTGTGTATGGGTCACAGAGCCGACCTACCTATGAGGCAAGGTGAGGCGACCACCTCAGGCAACAGGGCCCACCAAGGCTGCAGATCCTGGTGTTGATATTCCCCAACCCCTGGTGGGGAGCAGGGCACCATTTTGAGGTCCATCTCAGGTGCCAAAATGTCTTGGGCCAGCCCTGCTGGGTCATGCATTTCTTAATGCGGGGTGTGTGGCGGGGGTGGGGAGAGAGAGAGCCATCCCTGGAATGTACCATTAGAGATTGCAAGATGGTGGCCGAGGCATGTGTTTGAATCCTCAAGGGTGGGAATTCCTGCACTCAGAAAGGCAACATATCAAGAGGCAACAGTCAGCCAAAACCCTTCTCCTTGGCATGACAACTTTTCTGTCTGCAGGCACCTTTGTAATGCAAAGGAGGCAAGTGATTGCCTCCACCAGCAGTCTGTAATAGGGGCAATCCTAAAATTGGAGAGGTCATTGTGAGGCCATCCAGCGCAGTGCTGGAAATCAACAGCTGACTATGCAGCCTCAGCTGGAAGGTCAGACCTGCCTTGTCAATTCTCTGTTTGGCTGGGCAAAGCCACAGTTGCTGCCTGGCTGGACTGCATGAATGAAAACCACCAAACAGACCTGCACACGCATGCATGAACCTTTGCTTCTGGTTCTCTTATTTCCTCTCCCAAGTCACAGATGGAGATCCTATGGCCTCTCAGATATTGCTGGACTCCAGCTCCCACCGTCTCTGACCATTGCCTGTGCTTCCTGGAGCTGATGGGAGTTGGAGTCCAACAACACCTGGAGGGCCACAGATTCCCCATCCCTGCTCTAATCCTGTGTTGTTTGAAGAATATTAGGAATGCGCTGCATACTTAAAACTGATTTTAACAGTAGTTCCTGGGACGGAGGAAGCAGTGCTCAGGTTTCAAAGAGTTCTCCCCGACTTTACCAAGCTGTGGTTCCCTGGGTTTTTGTGGGGCAGCCATTGCATTTACACAGACTCAGAGGCGGTGGGTCCAAACCTGCCTGGGTTCAGGTGCCTTCTCTGTCAGTGGTCCATTCTCTTCTCCCCTGCTCCCCAAACACAGTCCTCAAAGAACGGAGCTGCATCCTGGTGGCGGCAAGGTGGAATTATGAGCTAGTTTGGAATACTTCAGAAGTGTTGAAAGATGATTTGTAGCGTTGTTCTGCCAATTGATTGAGAGAGGGGAGATGGCTGTGGGTATTACTGGGTGGGGGCGCTTCTGTTCTTTCCTTCTGTCTGGTTCAGCAGCAGCGGCAGCAGCATGAACCATGTGTCCTGGATCTGGAGCAACAATGTTCACCCTCCCCCCAGCCCATAGTTAGCCCTGCCAAATGGAAACTGGCCTTCCTCTCCAGGGTCCCTTCCTCAACCAAGCAATCTGCTCCCTGCAGAGTTCTCCTTTCTCTGCCCCACCTTCTCCCCAGAGAATTCTGCAGCATTGGAGGAGCATCTCCTCCTATGAGCTCTCTCACCTGCCCCCCCCCCCACGGCAGCCTCAAGTGGTGGAGCTCAAACACAGCTTGAGCCACTTCAGAGAGAACTAGGCAAATATTAGACCTTCCGTACAACGTAGCCTTTTTAAATGAGCCGGATGCATCTTGAACTGTGGACCCTCTGCAGTTAAGGCCAGTCCGGTACGTGTTGATCCTACCACCACCCTTGTGTCAGCACACCTCCGGGTCTTAGGCTACTAGCTACTAGCCTGCAGGGTTTATTTTATCAAAGGCTACTAGCCTGTGTTTCCATGCTGGCCGTGGAGGAGAGGAAGCCCCACCCACCCAAGGGGACCGGCAGGAAGAATGGAGGGACCCATTTTTTTTTCTGCCAACCAGCTCACTCACTCGCCTGGACGGGATCCTGGTCGCCTGTCTCTACCAAAAGAGTTGCTAAATCCACAGCTGGTGTTAAGCTCTCCCCACTTTTCCTACTTCCGATACGGCTCAGAAGAAGCAGCCCTGCTTGACCTCTTCATTTCTCATCCATTATGGACACGCACATAACATAACATGCATAGATACATGCAAGCAAAACCCGTTTTCTTTTTGCTTGAGAACATTGGCTCTCTCTTTTTAGGGTCTAACTGCCATGGTGTCCCGTCCCCCACCCGACCCCAGCACGATTCCCTCCACATCCATTCCCACTCTTGCATCAAGGTTGTGCCTGACACATATACACATATACTGGGTTGTATATTGTATATTTGCTCTTCCTCCCCTTCCCCGGGACATCCATGTATCTAGTAGCGGCTGTATCCATGGTGAGAAAGGGATGGGTTGGGGAGGGGGAGATCCAGGGCCTTCTTCCTTCAGCTGAAATGATTAGAAGCAGCTCAGTTTCATTGAGCAAGGGCAAGCACGTGGATGTGGTCTGAGCTGCCAAACAGACAGATTGATTATTTGACAGCACGTGCCGTATCCAAAGCTGAAGGTGGAGGAGCCGCTGCCTTTCCTCCCCCCGCCCTGCAATCCTGCAATGAGGCCCCAGCTGCAGCATGGCCCTACCGGGGTGAGTCGGGGCCTTTGGAGAATAAGGGGGCCCTTCCCCCTTTCTTGCACAAAGCATTAGGGTCAAGCAAGGGAAAAGCACCGGAGACAGACACGTGCAAGGAAAGGAAAGGTTTGCTGCAAGGCCCTTGAGTGGCCCCTCCTGCTCGGGAGGAAAATGACTATCAGAGAGACAAGAGCCCCTGGTGCCTCCTCTGGCTGGGCTTCCATTTTGCTTTTTTGTTTTGGCCTGTTTTGTTATAAAAGGGTTCTTTTTAATAAACGTGCATCGGTTCCGTTTTGCAAAGGCCCTAAATCGCTTTAAGGACTCCAGTCAAAAAGCGGGATATAAATCCAGTCATTCGACAAACGTGGCTGTTGATGAAAGAATGCAGATCAGTTAGCGAGAGGAGTTCTGCGTTTCCATGCCCGTTGGGTGGGAATAAGGGGGCGTCTGCCAGAGCAGCAGCATCAGTGCATTGCTATTTTGGCAGTCTGTTCAGAGCCCACCCACCCCCACCTTGTGCACAGTCCCAAGTACCTTGCCTCTGTCACATGACTTTTTTTTTATTATTCCTGGGGGCTTGGGAATAAATCCACCCGAGACTCATAGAACGAGGAACTCTCCTTAAAACGGGGCAAACGAGATGTTGGGCACAGTGGGTAAGGTGGCACCTCCCTCCTAGACCGGGAGTCTGTTTGGGTCAGCTACGGATACAGCCCACCACCTTCCCTGGTTTTTCCCTCCACCCTCCACTCCATCCCTCCTTTTTTAAACATCTGCTTCTCCCCTGCTTGTGTTTTCTTTCCTCCCCTCACCCCCCCCCTAGCCTAACCACTCCAGGCTCCAGGGCTTCTACCGCTTCAGCTTCCGCCGCCGTGAGCTCTGCGCGCCCGCGACAACACCAGAAATCCATGTCTGCCTCGGTGCACCCCTCCAAGCCCGCGCTGCCCCCCTCCGACAATAACTGTGAGGCGCAGCGACCCAGGCAAGTGGGCAGCTCTGCGTGCCTTGTGTCCTCCGTCCCCTGCCCACCCCCAGGGCTCGCCAACATTTTTGTGTCTTCCGCCTGCTCCGCACCCTGGAGCCATGTCTCTTTTTTTGCCCTTCCCCACTGCGCTCGCTCAGGGCCTGGAGGTAAGTAGAGGGGGACAGCCAAATGTTTTGGGGTTGGAAGGATTGTGGTGCCTTGGAGGGCAACTTGGTGCCCTGCAGCTGTTTTTTGGACAAGCTGACTTGCAGGATGTGACAGGAATAGTCTCCCCCTCTGCCCAAAAAAGGAGGCACAACACTAATGCAGGGGGAACAGGGCTGCTTGGTAGAAAGTAGAACAGGCATCCTTTCCAACTTCAGGTAATGGCAAGTTGGATGGCTTGAAAGGAGTCTGAGAACGAGATCAGAAGCCTCCAGTTAGTTGCCTGTCCTCTCCAGGCAGAAAAAGGACAATTGGAGCCTTCTGAACCCTTCCCCTTCTTTTTTATTCAGCTCTGTTTGTCTCTACTTCACCAGCTGGGGTTCAGGCAAGCGGCTCTTTAACCTCATCTAAAGGGTCAACAGCAACAGCAGAGGCTATTAGCAAGTATCCTCTCCTGGAGACTCATTCCTGTCAGCTTGTTGTTGTTGTGCCCCTCCTGCCAGCGCAAAAGGCTAGTCTTCACACTGAGGACTAGGGGCTTTGGAAATCTTTTCCCTTTATCCAAGCTGGTGCAGGAGTGAGCAGCGGAAGGAGCTGAGATTTGAAGCGGCCAGAAATGGCAAAGGGGGTGGGGCTTCTGCACCTTTCACAATTGTGTAGAAGAGGGGATTTCAGCAGGTGAGGTTTAATTAAAGGTGTAAGGGTCCCAACCTCCTCCCCCCCCACCTGGTGCCCTTACTTGAGATTGCAGGCCCTTCAGCCCGTGCTCAGTTCAAAATATGGGTTGTTTATTCATTTATTTTTAAGCGTTGGCTGCCAACGAGGTATCTGCTGCACATGTTGGGTTTAAGCAACCACAGCCTTGTGGGGAGCTGCCAACATTCCGCCTGCAATTATTCTGCAGTCTTAAACTAGGCTGCAAACCCATTTTAACAGGCTCACCATTTTTCGAGAACTCCTCCTGGGATTTCAGGAGCACCTCTTCATATAATCCCAGCTGTGCGGTTCTTCGTAGAACTCCCCTTGTGTTTCCTCCCACCCTCACAAGTGGAACACCACCTCCCAGAATCCTCTGGGGCGCAAAGGCCATAACCCTTGAAAGTGGCTTGCCCCAAAGACTTTTCCTGTTCAGCCCAGGCAGCGGAGTGTTCCTGGATGGCGAGCAAGTGGGGTCGCTGACTGTCGTCTTCTCTGCTCTTCCCCCTCCCCTCCCCACAGCACTGCACCCCAGAGGGTCCCCGTCGCCTCTCCCTCGGCCCACAACATCAGCAGTGCCCTCCCGGAGCGCACCAACTTCCCGCGGGGCGTCTCCAGCCGCAGCACTTTCCATGCCGGGCAGCTCCGGCAGGTCCGGGACCAGCAGAACCTCCCCTACGGCCTCACGCCCGCGTCGCCCTCCGGGAACAGCCAAGGCAGGAGGGGGGCCTCAGGGAGCATCTTCAGCAAGTTCACCTCCAAGTTCGTGCGCAGGTGAGCAGGGAAGTGGGCAGGGGTGGGTGCAAGAGGAGCCGTCCCCCTTTCCAAATCCGTAGCTGGTATTCTCTGCCGATTGGAAACAACTCCAGGATTGCTTGAGATATGTGCTTTGGGAGTTCAGTTTGGGGATGAGAGGTGAATGCAAGCCATCCTCCCCCGCTCCCCCAGGGCGCAGCATGAAGGCTCACTACCTTGTGTGTGTTGTGTGTTGTGCACAGCCAGGCCCACCCTCATAAGTACCCCTCTTCCCCACCCCACACCAAGGATGTCCTTGTGACCCCAGCCGCCTCCTCTTCGTCTTGCATCTCTCCTCCCTGCCCCCACTGTATTGCTGCACAGAACCAGCGCAGGGGCAGGAGTGTCAGCTGCCTTCCTTGGCCGGATCCTTTCCAAACTGTGCTTGGAAGGGGTTGGAGAGGACTAGCCTCCTAATTAAGCTTGGGGCACCCCATTTTTTCTGTAGCATTCAACCAAGAGGGATGTGTGTGTGTTTGCATGTGTTTATATGTGTGCATGTAGGGGTGGAGAACCCCTTTACTGCCTTTCAGCTCCCTCCTGGTATTGGAGCATTGAGCGGCAGAGAAGAGGCCCCTCTCAAAGGACGTCTTCAGACAAATGGGCTCATGCGCAAGGGAGTGCACCTGGACCAGGGATGCTTGGGGAGAACCATGGCTCATTTAGGCAGTGTCTGCATTGCATGCAGAAGGTTTCAGGTTTGATCCCCCGTTTCCGGTAGGTCTGGGAGTTGTCCCCTGTTGGAAACCCTAAGAGCCACTTCCGACCAGCAGAGACAAGGTTTGGGGGAGCCTTTGACCTTTCTGGTGTTGCTGAACTTCAGCTCCCATCGTCCTTTGCTCATTAGCCATTCTTCTTGGGGCTGCTGGGAGTTGTAGTTCAGCAACATCGGGGGGGGGCAAAGGCTCCTCACACCTGTTGTAGGTGATACAGCGCTAGGTGGATCAATAGCCTGACTTGCTCCATGGCAACTTCCTGTGCTTCCCTGACGTGTTAAGACCAATCAGGAGGCGCCACATTGGAGAGAGGCATTCTGGGAATGGAGATCAGAAGAGTGGGCTGAAGGTCACCTTCCTCCTGGCAACTGCAGAGCTCAAGGCCATGGAGGAACCACCTTGCGCTCTCCCCAAGAGCATGCGCATGCTGCCTTATGCGCTCCTCCCCGGGAATTCCCATTTCTGCTTGCAGCTCAGAAAAGGAGACCAGCAGAGTCTCAGCTGAGCCGCAGAGCAAGCCAGGCCTGCCTCCCACACCCTCCGATGGCACCCTGCTTCTGCTTCTGTTGTGGTTCCTGCAGTGACCTGGGGTGCTGCGAAGGCCGCAAAGCTGAGGGTGGGTGGGAGCCGCCTCGCCTGCAGCCCAGCCATCCCAGGGGTGGGGGGTGGACAAGGATTTAGCAGAGCAGCCCAGATGATGAGGGTGGCAACTAAGCTCATTTCCAGGGTTCCCCTATGCTGCTCCATCCCCTTCCAAGCAACAGGATGGAGGAGATGCCTTCTGGACCCTGTCAGTACCAGCTGCCTTCTCTGGTGAGGATCCAGCCAGGAAGGTCTTGCAGCTGGGGTCTGCTCGAACCCGTCCCTCAAGGCAGCTTTTTTGTGGCGTGTGTATATGTGTGTGTGAATATGTCTCAAAATGGCTTCTCTCTTTCCCGTAGAGCCCTGAGAGGGGATGGGCTGTGAGATGGGGCACAGTTTCCTGGCAAAGCCTTTTGTCTCAATTGGGGGGAGGGGGTGTTTTATGGTGCATGACGGGGGAGCCATTCTGTACAGCCCAGCGCCTCCTGCCCCCAACCCCTTTCCCTCTTTGCTGTAAGTGTTTAACCTGCCCCTCCACCGCACCCCCAGCTTCTGTTCCCAGCTTTGTGGGGAGAGTTAGGCTGTGGCAGCACTGGGGACGAGGGGGGCAGCCAAGTGCCTCTGGGGTCCTGGCCTCCCTCCCTCCCTCCCCCTCTGCACGGTTCCAGCACCAATGGGAGGGGGGCAGTGGGAGCCCCAGCTCAGCCCTCCTCCCTCCGGCCTGTCTCTGTCTGAAGCAAGGAGGCTCTTCAGATTCCCAAGTTTGCAGGGAGGAGGGAGCTAAGGTCGAGGAGGGTTGTGAGGCGGCGGGGTTGTGGGGGCCTTGCTGTGACACCCACCGCCAATTGCTATTTTAGGGAGGGAGGTTGGGGCGCCCCGGCCTGCTCCCGCGCGGCTGGCACTCCTGTCACTCGGTCATTTGCGCACTCGCTCACCCACCCACCCACCGTTTCCCCTCCTTTTTTTTTTTCCTTTTAGAAATCTGTCTTTCAGGTTTGCCAGAAGGTAGGCGTTCATCACTCTGGTTTTGTTCTGTCCTCCTCCTCCTCCTGTGCAGTACTAACCTCCTCCCTGCCGGCTTCTTCCTCTCCTCTTCCCGCCCCCCCCCTTCTGTGCCTTCTGGCTGCTAATGGTGTCTGTGTGTGCGTGTGTGTCTGTGTGTGTGTGCACAGAGCATGCTTAAAGGGACAGCGGGGGGGGGGCTTGTTAACTCCCTGCCTCTGGGATGTGGGGTGGAGAAAGACCCCCATTGGCTCTGGCCTGCCTCTCAGCCGCCTACAAATGAGCTGGCCTGGGACTGGGTGGGGAGGAGGGTGGGCAGGGGAAGCCGCAGAGGTTGCTTGTTCACCCGGTGCTGGGCCTCCTCCACTTGGGCATGCTGTCTCTTTAAAGGTGCCTGCCATCTTCCTTGGTCCCCCAGGCTGGGCCTCTGATCTTTAACCGAAACCCTTCTCTCCCCCCCCCTCGCCTTTCTCTTTCACACACGCCCACCCACCCCCCCAACCCAACTAATCCCCTTTCTCCCTGCATGGTGGTGGTTAGGAGGCGCTGGGCTGTCGCTGTGCCTCTATTGCTTGCAGCTGCCTTGAGGGTTCAGGGCGGACATGTGGGGAGACGGTTGCCTCGGAATCTGCATGGCCCCAAAGAGCAGATATTATTATCCTGTGGCAGGTTTTGAGCACAATCTGGAAGATACTATTAGTCGGTGTGTTGGGGGTTGGTTTCCTTTCTCTCTCTCCCCCCCCCCCCCCCGGTTATAGTAGGTAGCCTTTTTATCTTGTTCTTTTTTAGAAAGGGGGAGGTTGCAGGTTACAGGTCAGCAGGTTCACTTAAAAGACTGTGGGTTTTTGCTTGTTTCTTTGGACATCCCAGGGCACAGGGCAGGATGTGAATCCTACATACCTTTTTGGTTCTGGAGTGTTCCAAAAACCCTGGCCTTCCTCATTCAGTCTACTTCACCTTTTTTATTGTTTCAAGTTATGCTGAACATCTAACAGATTTCTCTCTTTGTGGGGTCAGGAAGGAACGTTTTCTCCTGGGTAAAATTGACTAAAAGTGGGGGTTGGGGGGGCTTTCTCCCCCTCTACTCATGAACAGCAAGTACTTTAAAACCTTAGCATTGTGGAGCTACTTGCCATAAGATGGATGACCAGGGATGGGGAGGAGAACAGAGGGTTGTGCTAGAAATGACCCCCTCCCAGCTCTCTGATCCCGTGGACCATAAGAGGCAGCTGCAGCTGCTGTATTAAAGGCTTGTGGGGGTGTGTGTGAAGGTTTCTCCATTGTTTGATTCCCCCCATCCTCCGCCCCTACCCCACCTCCTGCCTGGTGATGGTGGATGAGCAGAGAAGGAAGCACACTGGTGATCAGGAAGCAAGTTGCTTGCTTGCCCCCTCCCTCATCTGAGCTGGCATAAGGGAGCTCCATTGGCTGTTGCAAGTCACATGGCTTAGTGATGGATGGATGTGGCTGGAATATTTAAGGATAGCAAGGAGTGGGGGGCCTGTGGCACTCCAGGTTGTTAATAGCTGCTTGCTCCCGCCTTCCCCAGCCAGCATGGCCAGTGGTCAGGCGTGGAGGGATTTGTAGTACAAAATCTGGAAGGCCAAATATTATACACACACCGCCCCCGGTGTATATGGCTCTTTATCCCCCAGAAAGGGGTACCCAGAATGGCAAGCAGTAAATATCAGCAATACCCAAAAACAAAACAAAGAAAGAGACAGAGCTTAAAATATCTGCTTAAACAAAAAATTTGGGCAGTTTAAAAGACCAGCATCACTTGGCCTCAACGCCAGGAAGAGCTTTGAGGAGTTGCTTTAAAAAATAAATCCAGAAGTGGTGCTTTGTATAACCAGAACCAAATTAAAAGGGTGCGTGCTACTTAATGTTCGGAGCCTGAATCCAGTGAAGCAGCAGCTTTGATAAAATTGGCTCTCAATGTCACAAAACCATTCTCCCAGGACAGCCCGTTGGGCTGCTTAAAAACCTGATGGAAACCAAAGTGTTTTTAGTTTGCCATCTCTTGAGACTCATAAGTAGATTCCGCAAACTGTGAAGCCACCGTGGCAAGGGTTGTGCTCTTCCTTTTCTCTTGCATGGTGGTGCCATCAGCACGCTCTCCTCATTTACTGGTCTCAGTGGGCAGGTGGGTTATGATGCAAGTTTCTGTGAAGCGGGTACAGAGTTGGGCACAGTGTATTTTTAGGCTTGGGGAGTGGTGCTCAGATGAGAGGGAAAGCACCTCCCAAGTCATTTACTTTATATTGCAATAATGTCTAGAATTCCTAGAGCATGATTTAATACTATTTAGCATTGAGGGCCACAGGGGAAGGACAGTAGTTCCATAGTAGAGCATCTGCCTTGCATGCAGAAAGTCCCAGGTTCAATCCCTAGCAGCATCTCCAGGTAGGGCCGGGAGAGACTCCCTGCCTGAAACTCTGAAGAGCTGCTGCCAGTCAGTGTAGACTGTACTGGGCTAGATGGACCAGTGGTATGGCTCCATATAAGGCAGCTTCCTATATACTGATTTTCGAGCGTTAATGTGTGCCTTCTCTTCGTGGTCCTTGCAGCAACCCTGTAAGGTAGGCTAGTGGTGGTATTGCAGGTGGAGGCCGAGAGAGATCATGGCTCATTTTGCAAGTGTGTGGCAGAGGTATGCTTTGAGCTGGTGATCACAGGGCAGGCTCTTCCCCCGCCACTCCAGCTCCTCTTCTCTTCTCTTCCCTTGCCTGGCTGTGGCTTCTGCTTGTGCCGAGGGACCAGGGAGAGAGGTGCCGCTGCGCATCCCACACCTGCAACCAGCCAGCCCAGATGCCCTCCTCCTCACCACCATGTTGGCAAAACGCACTTCCCAGCATGCCGCGCAGAGTCTTGCATGCCGGGAGGCCTGTGGGCTTGGCATCAGCCCTCATGACGCCCTCCCCAGCCCCTTCCGTGTCTTGAGTTGCCCCCCGCCCTGCCCCACCTGCCAGAGATGCACACTCGTCCCCCTGCCCCCTGGGAGAAAAGGAGAGCAGGTCTAGGAGCTGCTGACTGGAGGGTGCCTGATACCTTGTTCTCCTGCTCTGTTTTTTGAGGAACCTGCATGAGCCCGAAAGCAAAGACCGTGTGGAGACGCTCAGGTGAGATGCAGCCAGTGTCACGGGGCCTCCTCCAGCCTTTGGGGGAAGCCTTTGCTCCACTCTGTCTGTTTCTCCAGCAGGGCCAGGCTGCTCCCTGGCACCTCCTCTCCGTCTCCTCCGTGTGCCTGTCTCTCTCTTCTGTTGCTCCCAAACTACCACTTAGCGTCTCTGTGTGTGCGTGTGTGTCTCTCTCTCTCCCCTCTCCAGCTCTCGGTTGCCGACCAGGCTTGGCCTCTGGGGGCAGCCGAAGGGGCCGAGTGGGGAGGGCGCCCTTCTCCGCTCACTGTCTCGCTCTCCCCTCTCAGGCCTCACATGGTGGGCAGCAGCGGCGACAAGGAGCGGGACGAGAACCGGGAGGCCAAGCCGCGCTCGCTGCGCTTCACCTGGAGCATGAAGACGACGAGCTCCATGGAGCCCAACGAGATGATGAAGGAGATCCGGAAAGTGCTGGACGCTAACAACTGCCAGTGCGAGCTGCAGGAGAAGTACATGCTTCTGTGCATGCACGGAGCGCCGGGCCACGAGGCCTTTGTCCAGTGGGAGATGGAGGTGTGCAAGCTCCCCCGCCTCTCCCTCAACGGTGTCCGCTTCAAGCGGATATCGGGCACCTCCATGGCCTTCAAGAACATTGCCTCAAAAATCGCCAACGAACTGAAGCTTTAACAGGCCCCCCGGGGGGGCCCAGCCTGCACGCGCATGGGGTGGGGGTTAGGAGTAAAAAGCTGCAATTTTAACTCTGGAAGGGTTTATTTTTCGATACCCTGGTGCAGGACGGAGATTGGGGGGGGCAGGGAAAGGGGGCGGCAGCTGGATGTTTGGGGACATCCCCCCTCTCCATCACTCCCCCCCCCCCGCTGCTGGATCGCTATGGAGACAGAGTGCGTGGGGTAGTGGCTGGCAGCCACCCAGCCCGTCTCCGTGGCAACAGTAGTGGGAGCGTACCAAGGGCTGTTGGTCTCTATAGTGACTGTGTTGGGGGGCATCCCTTTTGGTCTCCGTGGCGACCATGGTACTTTCCTTTTATTTCTTTTTTTTGTTGTTGCACATGAGACAGGGTTTTAAATTTTTACCAAACACAGCAAAAAGCAAAGATGAGGAAATAAGTGGACACCCCGCCCCCTCAACTGCCAGAGCTCGCCCTCCCCCACAATGCCTTTTACCTCCCACAATGCCTTTCACTCGCACCCTCCTCCCGCTCCTTGTGTTGGTGGTGGGCTTTCAGCTGCCGGGCGTGTGCTCACTCATGCCCTGGGAGAGTTGGGGTTTCCTAAGGGCATAATGGTGCCAGTGGTTCTCCCTCTGGGTTTCCCCCGTCAGGCCAGTGATGGACAGTGGTGGGTTCGGACGGTTCTGCGGTCGCCCTCTCCTCCCCTTCCTGCTCTCGGCCAGTTCTGCTCCCAGGGCCTGTTTTCGGCAAGGCCATTGGAAGGAGCACTGTCCTCCAATTTGCTCTTCTTCTGGCAGGGGTCCTGAGACCCCCTATAAGAAGAGTGGGGCGAAGATTCTAGCCATGCATACGGTTGCCTCCCACCTTGGAAGAGCAAAGGATGGGGAGTGTCCCAAGCCACAGCGGTCCGTTTCTTCACCTCTGACCACCCCCCTCCCCAGCAATTCTCTTCCCTGCAAGCTCCAGGGGCAACAGCATAAAGCTAGCAAGGGCTTCTGGGAGCAGAGCATTCCTTTGTTCAGCCTGAGCCAGTTTCTTTTATGGGCCTTGACAGCTTGCACAGCATCATGGTTAGAACTGCTGCCCCATCAGTCTTGCTGGTGCCTTGCTTGTTGGTTCTGATCCCAAGCCCCACCCCCACCCCCCTTCTCCAGCACTTCCAGGCTAAGATAACTTTCAGCATGTTTCTTCCTGACCCAGGATGCTCTGGAACAAACCAGACCTTGGCCACCAACTTTGCACACGTGTTCATACTTGGCTTCTTTTCCTCTGTGCCCGAGAGTGGCTTTGGCTGTTATTAAAGAAAGTGGCACCATCTGCCTGTGGGGAGAGTTGCCTGAGGGGTCATTAGCTGGGGAGCATTTTTGCCCCAGTCTTTCCATTACGGAAGACGACATACATAGGTCATACTGATGTTTCGGGGCAAGAGGAAGAGCTTTGTGGTGGGGTATGTGGGGGGTGGCCTCTGTTAACACTCTTCCTGCGCAGGTAGTTGTTGCAGCAGTGGTCACCAGTATCTTACCAGTATGGTGGAAGATAAGGGGAGCTCCCCCTCCCATTTACCTCCTTCCCTGCATCTACAAAAGCAGGATAGCACAGCCTGCCCTTCCTTCCCATTTGACAAGCCGGCTTTTCCCCTCCTCTTTCCAAAGCACAAGAGAAAAATGGGACCCTGGCTGCAATTACCTCTCTTGTTCCTCCCTCCCCTTTACCCCACCACCCCTCAAGCTGGGTTTCTTCCATTGTCATATCACCACTTGAGAATGTATTTTCAATCCTCTTTGGGGTGGTTGGGCTCCCCACCCTGGCAGTCTGTACTGAGCTCCTTTCAACCCCACCACTGTCACACACACACACACACACACACACACACACACAAATCTGGTTTGTATATAACTGTACTGATACCTCGGTTTTGTGAGTGGTTACTTTTTTTTTTTTAATTCTGATCACAAAATGCCTTTTTTTAAAAAAAGAAAAAAATCATGTCCCTTTTTTGTTCATCCCCCTCCCCCCCCCCTCTAGGGACGCTGCCGTTTGATGTAGTTTTACAGGTTCTAGATTAAAACTTTCCAGAAAGTACCTGCCTGGCCTTGGCTTCCTCTGTTCCCACCTCCCTCCCCAAGCACTTTGGCTGGAGATGTGCTTCCACTCCCTGGGAGGCTACAAGCCTTGGTACCGTCCTGTCAAGAGTGGGTGGGGGTGGCTCCATGGGGTTGTGGTGATGGGAAGCAAGGCCTAGGTGCAGCTGTTCCAAGTGCCCAGTGGTTCCCCTTGAACGTGGAATGCTAATTCTGTGCCCCCTTTGCGTGATTTCTTTTTGCTCTGTGCCCTGACCAGGCAACAGTTGGTGAAGGAACTGATTAAGAGGGGCAGTGTGGCACCCACAACATAAAATGCTGTGGCCTGCTGTGATACCCTGAACTGTTTTTGTATTCTGAGGAGATGCAGTGTTCCACAAGGGGCTCCCTCTGTCCCTGTTACAGCAGGGCGAATTGCTAAAGGCTCTGGGAGTGGCAATTTTGATGTCACCGCATATGCAATTCCTTCTGGCCTTTGCTGTGTTCATCTTGCTGAGACTGGCAGGACTCATCCTGGGCAAAGCTGTCTCTGTGACAGGATCAGAGCACCTTTTGGAAGACCATGCCTGGGAGGAGGCTGACGGGGCAAAGACCTCCTTCCTCTTGCTTGTGACCAAGTAGCTTGCCTGATTCTCCCCTTTCCATTCTTATTAAAAGCCAAAGAAGAAAAATCATAAGCTCCAGACCTGTTTTTCAGAAGGGGAGGGGGAAGCCTTATCTCCGACATGCATCTTGAGACATGACAGCCCTTTGCTAGAGCACAGAATTTATCTTCTGCCTTGATTTGGGCAATTGTGAATGCCACACACTTTCCCCATGCTCCATTGCCTCCCGAGCTAGACACAGGGTGGAAAGACCAGCCAGTTGTAACAAAATACCTTTATTGAAAATGCTCCATGGACGACAACAACAACAAAAGACTCCCAGCAATGGGTGGGGCCTTGGAGGGGAATCGTACACAGAAGACTGCCCAATCCTACTCTTTAGGGAGTCGTTACATCTTTGCTGCCAGGGACTCCTGCCTGGCAAGGTGGACAGGCAAGTACAGAGCAAAGCAAGCTGCCACTCATTCCCTCCCCCCCCTTCCAAATCTCCATGTAGAAACTGGAGAGGAAGGGAAATTGCTGCTACAGAAAGAGGGGCATCTTTACTTGGGAGCACTCTTGCCTCTGCATCCAGTCTGATCAGGTGTAAATCTCCCTTCCTTCCTCCCCCTCCCCCCAAGCTTCCACCTGTGTCAACTCTGACATACCTCCCCTTGCCCTCCCCCCAATCCCCGATTCACACAGGCACTGACGCAACTGATCCTGCAAAAGTGTAAACATAATCCAAACCCACCCCAAGCTACTAGTCCTATCACTTCCTTTCTCTTCCCTCCCCTCCCAAGAAAAAAAATACCCCACCCCCACCCCAATGTACATGGGGATTGGGATTCCTTGCCAGCTTTCTGGATGCTACCTGAACTGGGTCAGATGACACTTGGGACCCCGAAGCCCCTCCTTCCCCTGTTCCCTTTACATGACCACCACAGCCGACGCACACCTTGTGGGGGGAGAGGAGGACTGTACCAATCCCAGCTGTGACTGTTGTAGAGCCAGGCTCACAGATGTCAAAGGAAGCACTCTGAAACCCCTCCTCAGAGGGAGCTGGAGGAGGGGGGAGGGGGCTCTCCTATCCCACCAAGGAGTGATGGGGGGTGCTGGCCACTGCGGGGCGCTTGTCGCGAGGTGGCTGGCCGAATCAGCGGGGGTGGCGGCTGGTTGAGCGACAGTCTGGGCTGCAGGAAGCGGCCTTGCTGCAGTGGTGGGGGTTGGCGGTGCAGCGTGGGTGCTGTTGGAAGTGTGGGCCTCAGCAAAGGGGGTGGCTGTGAGAGGGCAGCAGGTGGTGGCCGGGGAGACGCTGGGAGTGGCAGCGGAGGGGGCAGTGGCGGCGGTTGCTGCTGCTGCTGCTGCTGCAGGGAACGGGACACCGCAGTGATCTGTACCTGCAAAAGGGCAGAAGGAGAGCCTTCAGTGCTGGAGAAGCTCAAGAGGTCTGTGCGGTGTTGGTACTTGGGGGCAGCCCCTCTCCTCACCTCATCTTCTTCCTCACTGCTTGCTAACGAAGCGCTAGAGCTCTTTTGGTCCTGAGAAGGGGAGCTACCTTGGGGGGCAGCCGGCCCCCCACCCTCCTGCTCAGCCTCCCATTCCTGCAGCACCTCTTCCAAGTTGAACCGGCGCCGGTAGCTGACAAAGAAAGTCTTCACCTGGGCTACTGTCTTGTTGCCAATCACCTCTGCGATGGCCTGGAAATCTTTGCCGTATTTTCGGATGGCTGAGCAGGAAAAGAGAGGGGATTTTTGCACCGTCCCGCAACATAACCAAATGCCACCATTTGGCAAGCCAGCTACCTACTGTTGGGTCTCCAGGCCCCCAATCCATGGTGGAGAAATTTGGTACAGAGGGTGCCACTTTAGGGTGATCATAACCTGCACTCTGGCCCTCAAATCCCAAAGACCAATATCCTTCTCTGATACAACGGAGGGGAATAACCCATCCACCCTCTCCTAGTTCAGCCCTGCATTGCTAAGAGGAGGCAGCCTGTCGCCTCTTTGCTGCATGGGCTCCCACCTGCTGGACCTTGAAGGCTCACCCTGTACAGCCAGCAACTGTTCATCTGTTGTCCAGCGTGAATTGAACTTGATGTTCGTCTGCAAGGGAGAAAAGGAGCGTGTCTGAGCTTTGCCTCCCTCCCTCTTATGCCTCCCCCGAACAGAGAAATCTGGAAACTACCATTACAGAAAAAGGGCAGTTTGCCTGCGCATGCACACTCACCTCGGGTGGCCGTAGTTTGTCTATTCCACCTTCTAGCACCTGCTTCATACTGCTATTGATCTGCTTGATGCTCTGTACCTAGTATGGACAGAGACTGGAAGGTCAGGAGGCAACAGCTCCCTTGCCCACCCCCATAGTCTGAAGAGCCCAAATTCTTTGGAAGATGAAAAGGAGAACAGGTTTTCCGTAAGGGGCGGTGCATGCTCATTGGGAGGGAGGCAGGCAGGCAGCAAGTTGTGATCACGTGTACACACTTAGGATTTTGCTACCTGGCGCTTGAGGGAAACCAGCTGGGAGTCCAGGTGGCGCAGGGTGAGAACAGCCATGTCTGGGCTGGCAGACAGGCCCGTAATGTCCTCCTGGCTCAGGTACATGCCCTTTGGAGGACGCCGGCGAGTGCGTAGTGGGTGGTGCCGATACTGTGACAGTTGTACCTCCTTCTTCACAGGCCCTGGCTTGCTGTTCAGGGGCTTCTGGTAACTAGGCTGGAGAGGAGAGAATGAGAGTGAGAGAAAACTGAACAGGACCTCCCTTCAAATTTACCATGGTTTTTACTGCCCCACTGCAGCTCTTCCTCCCATGCCCTTTAATGCTGCTTCCTTGAGGAGCTGGATTGTAATCTGTCTTGGCAGGGGTAACTCCTTGGGTTGTATCCAGTGCTAGTTGTACTCAGTACAGATCCACTGAAGTTAATAGACATGGCTAACTTAGGTTTGTTAATTTCAGTGGGTCGACCCCCCCAGGTAGAACTTCACTGGTTACAACCCCATCTTCCTTAGGTTAATGTATCAGCCAGTCCTCTACCACCCAGTTCCTTTTGACATACAGTTGTATGTTCCTTTTGACATACAGTTGTCATAGCTCTTCTAAGTGGTTTAATGTTCCTTGGCACATGACATCTCCATCCTGATAAATTCAGGACTTTGTGTGCCCTGTACTTAAAAAAACACACACACCAAAAACCATTTTCATGGCAAAGTGCCTGTTTTCTTGCCGCTGAAGGTACTGGAACCATGTTGACCCTTGTTTATCTTAGCTACCCTTAGTTTAGACCTGTTAGTGGCCATTCCCCTTACCTCCTTCTTGGGATCCATGGCATCAAATTCACCCTCACTAGCCTGCCGTCCTTCCTCCAGTTCATCATTACTGTAGGGGAAATGCAGCAGACATTAGAAGTTATTCTGCTTGCTCCAGAATATGACTTGCCTCTCCTGCAGTCTTTTTCTGGTTTCTCCAAATAGGTCTCTTCCCCCTACTGGGCTATTGCCATCCTTGCTTTGAGCTCTTCTGGGAGGCAGTAATTACTGCTGTTCATTGCATCCTGGCTCGGCTTCACTGGAGAAAACGAACTTCTGGCCATCTCTGCTTGTGCCCCCACTTTTTCCCAAGCAGTGGGAGAGACTTAAATTGCAGGAGAAAAGTTTGGAATTCTGTCACAAGCAGGGGTCTTGGAGTTTTAGAAGTCCAGGCTGTGTCCACCCAAGTATTGTGTACAAGGCAGTCACTTCCAAGCCATCAATGTTTTGCTTGGTTCTGTCCTTGCTAGATTGCAATTGGTTTTATGGGCAAATCTTGACATTATATTCAGCTTAACTGGGTTTGGGCAGGCTCCCTGCCTCAGAAACTGATTTGTAGTGTTCCATTAATTGGTGGGGTCCCACTAATGAAACTGCTTTGGGGTTGAAGGCAAAGTTATTGGCTCTGTGACAGGCCCAGCCACCCAGCTACCTCTGCTACAAACCCTTTCCTTCACGAGCCTGCTAAGCCATCCACCCCATGTACATGCACTCTTGGTCTCTGACCTGTCATCCTTTTCCTTCTTGCTGAGCAGCTTGCGGGCCTGCCGATCCATCACGCTAGTCCTGCTCCGGGTTTTCTTCCAGGAGTAGTAATACTTCACCAGGCTGGGAATCATCTTATCAGGAAGCTAAGCAAGGAGTCGCAGGAGGAACGGTGAGTAGAAGAGGGCAGCCAAAACCTGAATTACTGTGTGGCACAAGGTAATTCTAATAGGCATGTAATTAGGCCATGGAGTGATGCTCAAATACAGAGTTAATGAGTAGAGCTGTGGCACTGGGTCATTCGTATATTGTGTGTGTGAGACAGGAGGTGCCAGAATGAAATGGGGAATCTGGTCCAGAAACAACCATCAGCCCATATAATTGCACAAGCTGGCTCCCCATACAGAGTAAAAAGGGGATACAGAACGGGAAAATCATGGTGCAGCCAGCCCAGGATTTCAAAGAGCAGGCCTTAAAACAGTTTTGTAAATTGTCAATATAGGCACATATCTGGTTGCAAGTTTTGGAGGGGGACTTATGCAAGATACCCTCAGCCTTACCTCCACCTTGCTGCTGTCCCTATTTCCCATTCCTTGCCCTCTTCTTCTTGGCCAACTGAACCAGGGCCAAGAGGGTGAGGAAAGGCTGCTCCCCTCCTTCACTTGCATCACTGCTCAGCCAGAGAACAGCCAGGAGGTGGCAGTGGGGCTGCGGAAGGGGCCTGACGAGACCAACCTGGCACTGGACACTCATGAGAAGAGGATTGTTCTTTGGACCCCAGCCACCCTGCCACTTACACCAGCAAGAGGGGAACGCATACCATCTGCTGGATTCGAGCAAAACTCTTGCCATGGAAGCTGAAGGCTTGCTCAAACAGGACTTTGTCCTCCACCGTCCACTCATCAGGGAATGGTGTGAAATTGGCCAAGTCAGCCAGGGACTTCTCCACATCGTGCTTGTGCCACAGCAGCATCCCCAGAGCCTGTTGGGGGAAAGAAGGCAATGGGTAAGAGAGAGGAGTGACTGTCCCAGCAATGGAATGTCACTCCTGAAAATGTGGCTCCTGAAAGTCTGGCGATACCTAAGTTTCTGGCAATTCTGAAGATAACCTTACAAGGTTAAGATAGTGATGGCAAGCAGGTCAGTGAAAGAGAGATGGGCTAGGAAGGGTTACATTTGGCCATGGAATGGCATGTTTGTCAGCTCTTGGAGGAGGGATCCCTCTTAAATGTATCTCTCAACCTCACACCTGGTCCTGTGGTATCACATTTTTGCTATGAGAAAATGCCTATCTTAAGACTGGGTAGCATTGTTTCCAATAAGCTTTTACTGGCTTACAAGTTGATGCTAAATGGAATGAAGTGTCCAATAAATCTAATTTGGTTAACCCGATCAAACAATGTCTAATTTTGTGTAATTTTCTTTGCTCTTATAGAATTTGTAGGATTTCAGAAATGTTGAGTTAGGGTCAAGAAACAAGGGGTTGTATTCAACTTAAGATTTACACTGAAATTAATGACCACCACTAAGTTAGGTCCAGTAATTTTAATGAGTCTACTCCAAGTAAAACTTGTTGAAGCACCACCCAGGGAATCCAGTTTGTTCTGGTTTTCCTACCTGCTCTATGTTGTATCCGTGCTTCTCCTTGGCCATGGCAATATATTTGTCCACTAGAGGGAGAAAGAGGCAACCGTCAGTGCTGGGGGAGGGAAACAGAGAAGATGTAGATGCTTCGTCCTCTGACATCTCTTTCCCTTGGTGGTTGACCTGCCTGCCTGCCTGCCTGCCTGCCTGCCTGCCTGCCCGGTGGGGATGGCAGTGATCATCCTCTTCCATGACATCCACAACCACTTTTGGGGCTTCCGGTGAGGAGCCCCTCCTGCTAGCAAAGAGGGGAGAAAATTGAAGTGCTATGTTGTGGTGTGCCCTCTAGAGGAACATAAAAGCAGGCATGTGGCCAGAGGGTCCAGCACACACTAGATCAGTGTTACAAGAGCACTGCCCAAGAGATGTGTCTGCCAGTCCCATGTGAATTCATGTTTGGGAAGGAGGGGAGAAGCATCCCCCATAGAAGTGGAAAGTGTGGCTGTAAAATATACTATGTACATGTGATATATTCTCACACAAACCCTTAATGACAAAGCCATTGGGGTGACAATTGGCCATGCATCAATCTTTTGCCCCCCTCTTCAAAAGCGACAGCACTACCTGGGCAAACGGAACCCCAACTTTGGGCCTCTCTGCTTCAGCATAGGCAGCGACACCATTTCTCTCCCCCCCCCCCAGCTGCCTGCACCAGCCAGATTAATAACCCAGGAGCCGGAGGCAGCGCACCAGCCGCTCGGTAATTGCTTCTAGGAGTCCCGGGAGGGGGGGAAGGGGGAGCTGTCAATCAGAGGCTCTGTTACCAGCTGAAGATGGAATGCATTTCCCCACCCCCACCCCTATTTTAGCCAGGCTGGTTCTTGGTTGATTCTGGAACTGGTTCAGAATCCAAGCCAGGGAGCAAAGGCTGTTGGAACATCCAACATGGCCTGAAGGGAGGAGAGCTCCACAGGAGTGCGCAGGGCCCAGCCCCAGCCATTGATCTGACCTGGCCTTTCCACTTTTTGCACAATAAAGAGGGAGGAGCAACTCACATTTGGCATCAGAGACGCAATGATTTGGAGACCAAACGAGCATCCCTTTCAACTCCTTGTTGCTGTAGCGAGCTGGGCTCTCTGAATTACAAAGACAGAGGGAAGAGAAAGCTTTAAGCACTCTGGGCAGGATCTCCTGATAGGTTCATCTGCTGCTGCTGCTGCTGAAAATCAAGGTGGTGAGAAAGGAATGCTGTTGTGCTGAAGCAAGCAGTGGATGACTTGGTGCCCACACAAACGCAACCTCTCTCCGGTATCCTAGCCAGCAGTGCGAGCTATCCCAGCTCAGTCAGCTTTCACTGTGTTTTCATGGTAGGTGACCACCCCCCACCCTCCATCACGCCCACTCAGTCTGCTCATGTCTTCAGTCCCCACCTGTATTACACATTATCCAACACTTTGGTGGACCCTTCCCTTCACTCTTGGACAGCATGTGGGGAGGAGGTACATATAATTTCACCCCACTCACCCCGGAACCAAGAGCAAAGACAGGTGGAGCCTCCAGGTCCAGAAACTAGCAGCTACGCGTTGCCAGGGTGGTTGTAAGCAGGAGGCGCCAAAGATTTGGCACTGGAAGAGAGTGTGACTGCATTAGAGCTTCGGGCTGCTGCCAGGTGCAGGAGGGGGATGGTCAGAGAGAAGCCATCTGGTGCAGCAGGGTGGGGGTGGGACCCGTCGCCCTTGTTCACCTTAGGGGGAAATGCTCAGGTTCCACTTAGGAAGGAGGAGGACTCAGAATGCAATGATCCACCAGGACTGTTAAGCCAGAGCCTTTATTTGAAGGAGCCAGGAACATGACTGCCTTCTTGCTTAACCCTCTCCTGTAATCTGTAATGCTTATATGTGCCCCCCCCCCTTTACCTGGTTTGCACTCTGGAATCACAGCTTGATAATCTGCTCCCACACGGATCATGCTGTCTGTAAGGGAACAAGAAAGACAAGCTTGAAGGACCTGCTGCTGCAAGGGAGAGAGGGCAAAGGCTGGCTCAGACAGCGATACAAGCCCTCAAGAGAGGAGTCGGATCATCCCTTCACTTTTGGCTGGTGCTTCCTGCCTGAATAGCCTCAAATGCCCAGAGACATTCCCAAGGGATGTGGAGAGTGCAGGAAGCAGAATGAGACGCTCTACTGCTTTTAAGTTCAGTGGTCCAGCATAGTATTGGGGGGAGACTTCTACTGTATATGAAGGGGCAATTGCATGTTTTGGTTGGGAGGAGTCCTGGTTCTACTTGAGATATTGCAGTGGAGTGTTTGTGTGTTCCTTCTATCACTGCCTTTCTCCATCCTCAAAGGTGGTGGCGGTGTGGCCAAGGGGGCAACAGTATAAATGGCTGAGCAAGCCATAGCAGCCTTCCAAATGAATAAGGAGGATCTTGGTACAAACACTCAGTGCACATATCCTCCACCACCCAAAGCACTTTGGCACTTGAGAAGCAAGGACCCTTGGGAGCCCTCCAGGGAAACATCAAGAGAAAGGCTACTGCTGAGAAACCTTCCCAGGCAGCAAATGCACCATTTTCACTATAACTTTGGATAGCCTAGTATTTTCTCCACCACCCTCTGCTAACTCCTGTTCCTTAAAAAAAAACAAAAAAAAAAAAACAAGGTACCAAGCAGCTGCTGAACGGCAGGCAAGATCTGGAAACATTTAGCCAACGTCATGCCAAGGAGCTCCTGAGCTTTCACTTTCTGGCACAGGGGCCAAGAAACACATGCTGGGCTGGGGGCCGAGTGTCTGCTGAAAGGGCTCCATATCCATTCTGGGAAACACCCACACTGTGCCCTACAGAGCAGTTTCTGGGATGGCAGTGATGGGATCCTCATGTGGCCATGTGCAGGAAGGGGCATGGTTCTCCTGATATATCTTGTGGGCACCATCTGCACCTCCCCCAAGAGTGCATCTGGCAGCTCTAGGGTGGTGTTGGGCAGGGTGGGGTGAGGGGTGGATGTCAGTTGGCAAAGACAAATGACACCACCTTAGGGCCATGCACCATCACCACCCGGCTCAATGATCCAATATTCAAGGTGGAGAGAGAGAACTGGAGAAGGCAGCAGTCCTATCCAACAGTTCAAGAGAGCTAAAGCAAAACCTGCTGGTGGATGGATGGTCATGGTTATACTATCAGGGTAAACACACACATACACACACCTTGGAATGCAGGTGACACACTGAGGTAGCTTCTGTCCAAAATGTGTTTTGACAATGAAATCTGACTAGGGTGATTTTACTTGTGTTGTGTATCTATAGCCTGTGGCAGATAGACAAAAGTCTCTCCCCATCCAGCCCTATCAACAGCACTGTATATCTCCTAGAGCAGATGTTCAGCTGCAGGTGCATCAGTGGACATGTGGAGTACTGGGCGGGGGGTTGTCCCTCCACCACCACATCCCACAGAGAATGGAGGGAGGTGGAAGAGGAAGAGGAAGCCTAACAAAGCCAGAGGTGTACAGGAAATCATAACAGAGCTCGGGTGGGAGGGTGGGGAGAGAGATGACGGGAGGGCTCTGGGGACAATAAAGCTATGAGCTCAAACCCAAACCAACTTTCTAATTCTAGCCCCCAGCTGGCTCCTTTGTTAACCTGGCCAATGGGTGAAGGTGGAAAAAGGAAAGGGGCTGTTGCAGAGGATCCCCATCCTCATCCTGCTTCTGGGTCTGACCACACAGGCAAAAAAGGATCAAGTGTCAGAGGTAAGATAGGTGGGTGATCACTAGAGTGTGAAGCAACTGGAAAGGATTAAGGGAAAGAAGTGTCTCTTCCAACCACAGTGACCTGGCAACTATCACACTGTTTTATTCAAGGATCCCAAGCAGCAGCATAACACATGCTTGGGCTGACATTTGGGAAGATGCACTTCACTAACAGCACCTCACCTTTTGGAACACCTTGAGCCAGACTAACACCTGTGCGCCCCCCTTTCTTCTTTTGAAGCCTCATGTCACAACACTGAAGGAGCTCATCATCTGCTTCCTGCAATCAGGACAAGACTCTCTCTTTTGCACACTCCTAGCCCTCTCCCTGCACCATCTCTGTTGCTTTACAAACTACAGTTTTCCAAGTTACGTGTTTCTCACATGCTGTCATATGCACCCCAAAACAAACATTTTCTTAGATATATTATCCATCAGCTGTGCCCCCACAACCTCACCCCACAGCCCTCATGGAGCCAGATTTCTCTCTGCACGCCCCCCCCATTTGTGTTACCAGCTCTCCCTCTCCCACGCCCACTCTCACTCTGTGGCCAGTAGAGGGCAAGGTGAGCCTAATAAAGGCCTTTCCCCTCTATTGGAAAGAGCCAAACTAAAGCCATTGGTGTCATGAGCTCAGTGGCCTGAAGTCCAGCTCCAAAAGGGTCCCTGATACCAAACTCTTTGTTCCACCGCAGCACAGCACAGTGGATTCTCTCAGCCCTCTTTTTAACTGGGGCATCTTAGACCTTCAACCCACGCATCCATTGGTTCAAATCCTCCCACCCCCTTGAGTACAATGAAGTCTTGAGAAACAGCCACTTTTAATAACTCCTCGTGTGAGCATAGCATGTAGCTCAGCTTGGCTTACCGTGGGAGTGTTCCTCTTCACTGCTGTCATCTTCTGAGTTCTGGTGGTTGCCGTTGGTGGCTGACTTGGACCGGCTTCTGGACAGGATCCCTGATTTTTCCATTACGGAAGGCATCTTCCAAGTCCCAGCAGACCACCAGGCTGGGAAAGGATATATTTTCCCCTTCCAGTCTTCGTACCTCTTTCAGGAAACTGAAATACTTGTGTGTTATTTCAATTTTTAAAAAATTGAAGTTCCGCCGTCTCTTCTCTCCCTTTGCCGCAACTTCCAACTTTAAAACATTAAGAGGAGGAAATTAATGCCCCTTGTAAAAATCCATTGCAGTGAAGGTAGGAGTTAAACGTAAATTCTGTGCAAAGGGAGGAAAGATCAGAGTTCAGGTTTTCCTTTCCCACTCTGAAATTTTGTCTCTCATTCCAAAGTTACTGTAAACTTCCTTGTAATGGGTATGAACCATGAGGGGGAACTCGGTACTGCTGAAGTTATGTAGGAGATGCTCTGAGAAAGTGGGGAGCTTAACACCTGGAATAGGATGTGTGTTTGGGGGAGCAGCAACCTAAAAAAGATAACTTCTAAAATAAGCTGCTTCTCCAGCTAAGATCCTCCAATCTGCAAAAAGAAGAAGGGGGAGGGAGGAAATATCACCTTAAAAATCCTAGGGAAACGTAAAAGGGGGAGAAGTCCTTTGGTCCCTAAAAGTCTACCTAAGCCCCCCCCTCAAAAAAAGATCAGTCCTTTTCTTTTCTTCTTCAGAGCTGCAGTAACTTGTACAAAAAGGGAATATCCTCTCCAGAGTCCCAGTTTTTATCACCAGGAAAGAGAAGGAGGATCAGGAGGAAAGCCTCCCGCGTGCGTTTGAGGCACTTAAAGGAAAAGTTGCATGAGGAGGATTATTTGCAGGCGCTGCCGTCTCCTACTGCTGCTGCCGCCACCATCTCTTTTTCCCTCCCTCTCACACAATGAGTCTGTGGCTGCTTTGCTCTTGCTCCTGCTCCTGCTGCTGCTGCTGCTCCTGCTGCTGCTGTGAGAAAGTAGTTCCAGTTCTCTGCCTTAGCACCTCCCCTCAGACTCTTCCGCCTGCCTGCACATCTGGCCAGAGGAGGCACGCAGGGGCAAGAGGCGCGCAGAAAGGGGAGGGTGGAGGCCAGATGTGCAGAATGGGGAGGAAAAGGTCAGGAGCGGGGAGGGAGCACATCAGTCCTCTGAAAGCACAAGCTGCTCTGTCTTAAAAAAGAGAGAAGAGAAAAGAATTCCCATTTCTTCAAAGGGTTGAAGGATGGAGGAAGTCTGTTCCCCTTGTAGCGAATAAGGAGAAGGTGCCGTGAGATGCTGATATTCAATTCCCAGCAGGAGACACGTGGGAAAGTCTCTCTTCCCCCTCCATTGCTTCTGCTCTAATCTGGCTTCTCTCACTTTCTCCTTATCCAGGAGAAAGGCACTGTTTGGTAGCAGCAGAACAGTAGCATCTTTATAAGACACATAACTGTGAAGTCATCTAACACTCTCCAAATTTCACTTAGCTGTCATTTTATGCTCACTATGTAGAGCTTTGGCTGCTGTGTATGGGAGAGTTCCAAAGTGAGAGAAAACAAGTCCACACCCCTATATCAGATTGACCTATTCCCTTGGCATCACTATCTCCACCACACAGCTTTTTTAGAAGACAGCTTCAATCTGGATAGCTCTGCAATTCTGCAGAACAGAACTAGGAAAACCCAAATGAACCCACTCACCCCACCCTCTACACAGAGGGGCACAATTAGTTGAGAAGGAAGTTGCCCTTTACTAGGCTCATTGAAATGAACACGAGCGACACACTATGATGCTCTTGCGCAGTTCGCATTCATTTCAGGGGAGCCTATGTAAGAGAATTACCAATGGTTGTGAGTCCTATTCATCAGATCAGACCCTTTTCTCCTCTGCCACACCACAATCAGCTGCCTATGGCAGCCAATTAACCTTTCCTCGTGGTTGGGCTGCTTCTGTCTAAATTCTCTTCGGTGGTCTCACTCATGGATAAGGATAAAATGGTAGCCCTTACACAAGGTTTACTGCACACAAGAGCAGCCCATGCACAAAGCGAGGTGAAGCCATTTGCTTCAGGTAGCGGATCCAACCCTCCCCTCCCCCATTGTTGTGTGCCTGCTAGCCCCACCAGGGCTTCCTGCACCACCATCACAGCACCATTGCCCGTGCAGCTGCACCCTTGCCACTGTGTCATGGTGGCAGCATGGGCACAGTTGCAGTGCTAGACTGTAGGGACTGGGTGAGCGCAGGGACCTGGATCTGCTGGGGGGGGGCAGCAGGGCATTTTGCCTGCAGTGACAAAATGTCTTGGGCCAGCCCTGCACACCTGTGTCTATGAATATATACCATAGTGAAGAAACAAAAAGCAAATGTTCTTAAAAACCCCATTGCACGCAAGTTACAAATATTATTCTAGTCCTTTTCTCTTATAAGATGGATAATAATAAACTGATTTACAAGGAAAATACAACATATCAGGTAGCCACTTGGATTCAAACCAATCCTGTGGGATGTCTTGCAGAAGTGACACTGCAAATGTCAGTGTTGGGGGTGGGGGATTTAAGCCACTTCCTGGCTACATTCAAGATTAAACTGAATGGTGGTTGTGCATTTAACATTGCGTGAAGAAACTCAGGTCCATGGGACTCTCCTCAGGCCACACCCCTTGCTAGTCCTGTGTCCATGTTCCCAATCAAAGACAATCTTTTCCCTACCTCCTCTCCCATCCCCCACTTGAAGCAAACTGATTTAAGTATTTGGCAATGTGTATCTAGGAGAGAGGAGGTCCATTTAATTGTTTCTAGCAATAGGCACTCAGTGTGAGTTGGCCAGAGTGAGTAAGAGTTCCTGAGGAAGAATTGCATAAGGTATGAAAAGGGTCCTTAAAGGGAGCCACAGATTTAGGCTCTTTACACACCAAGCACTTAAGCACTCCCGACTCATAGTGCTGGGAACTTTAATTTACACCTCACAGAGCTACAATTCCCAGCACCATTCTCATGAGTTTGGGGGGAGGGGTGTGTTTTTAATGTGTGGGGTGTACGCTGCCTAACTTTTAAGACCTGGGTTTACCTAACTCTACCCCTCCTTCGCATGGTGATCCAGGACTCCAGGTAAATTGTCCATCCAATTACCAGCTGCTAACCCAAAAAACTCTACCATGCTTTCCTCTATTCATCCTTTCCCTGTCTACCCCAGCCTGCTTAACATTAGGTCCTTTCCCCACATTTCCCGTCAGCCTGCTAGAACTTTCGGTGATTTCTACAAAAATTCACGTGGTGATGCCCCCCTGCTTTCCCTTTTTGGTTGTTTCAGGCATTCTCTCTTCTTCCATTTCATAAATATCAGCCTCTCTTATTTCCTGCCATTTTACTCGCAATAGGATTCACTGTGGGAATAGACTACCAGCCTCCAAGGCAGCCAGACTAATGATTCAGGAGGGCTAAAAAATATTGTGGAGATCTGAAAGAGCATGGCTAAACAGGGCCATAAAATAATGACTGGTTGAGGAGGGCTGTGGTGGGTGGCGGAGAGAAGCAAGGTGACAAAACTGCGCCTGGGTGCAAAGAGGCATGGCACTGTCAACATGACAGAGAAATTCCCTGCTGGAAGGAGAGAGCAGAGGAGGAACAATAGCTTCTTCCCCAACCCTGCTGCTTGGAAGCGGGAGGAAGCAAAGGGGAGAATTTTAGTAGGGAATTCTGTTTGTTCACAGACTCTTTGTAGCAGCTCTTTGATGTGTCAAAGGAGCTCAGGTCCTAGGCTGCCTTCCAGCCCTGTACGGTGGAGGTGGTGAGGAGCGCAGTGGGGGGAGAGGGGATTGAGCTGGCAGGAAGGGAGGGAGGACTCTGGGAGCTGAGGCCATCCACCCTGTCTCTGGAGTCTTGTTTGTTTCCTGGTCAATTAGCTGGAATGGAATGCAGGGGTCAGGGTTTTCTATCTTGGCTGCTTCTGCAAAGGAGAGCAGTTACTCTGGTTTTGTGTCCTGAGATGGGCTATCATCCCATCTTCAGCTCAATTGTGGAACCTGGTTTTAATTTGTATTTTATAGAATCCATGAGAGGACAGAATAAGAGGGGACAGTCGTGTATAGAAGGGGGGGGACGGACACTGTGCCTGATTGATTATGGTGTATGGAGCTGTAGTCCATCATCCAGGAAGCATTACAGGCTTCTCTCTTCCCTACACAAAGGAGGGGGATTTGTGGCATTGGAGAGCTGTAGTGAAGAGGATGTAGAAGCACACAACTTCTGCTTTCTACAGCAACAAAATCTCAAAGCTCGCTGAGGCACATTGTTGATATTCCTAGCTAGAGATTAGAGACCAAGAAACAGATTTTCCTAAGTGTACCTTGTGAATCTAGATGGCTCCTGGGCTGTAAGCAGATGTGTCTCCTTTTTCAGTGTGTGTGTGTGTGTGTGTGTGTGTGTGTTTACAATATATGTGGCTGGGCTAGAATTTGAACCCAAGTGGCTAACAATGAGAATAAGGGACGTGGAAGCATGTAAAACTGTAGAGCATATGCACACATTTGTACACACACCTAGGCCAGTGTAATACACACATGATGAAACTGATACCTCTTGCAGCACGGCAAACCTAACACCACAAGCCCCTTCAGCCTTTGTGGCAGTTTAGATCTGCTGGCATGAGCAGCTGCATAACAGAGGAAAAACCATTTTATTTAGGCCTTAACCACGCTAGGAGGACACAGTGTTTTAGTCAGACAAGGGCTAAATCCATTCAGTACAGGCAGCTATGGAAGGGAGTTTGCTTCCTGCAGCAAGGACCGGACAAACACAGTCCTCTAACGGCATGACATGCTGTCACAAAAGGCATGAAAAACAGAGCAGGCCTGGGTAAGGTAAATGGATCAAGGGAGAAACTGAAATGGAAAAACAAACATTCCCAGCGGTCACTAACCAAACCATTTCCCCCCTCAACCCCAAACACCACACCAAATCCAGCATTCTATTCTCTCACTCTGCCTTCATCCCAAAATTTCAAGAGCTATGAGCTACACCCTTAGCACAATGAATAACAAAGACAGCAGAAAGTTCACTACCTCTACTCTCACTCCACATGTAAGTGATGTCTCTTAAATCACATCCTCTTGTCAGTCAGTCATTCAAATATCTATTCACACATGCACACTAATCCCCTCCGCAAAAAACTATAGCAGCCTATACAGGAGTCATGCACACAGACCAGTCTACCACAGTCACAGTCACACAGGGGAAATCCTGCTCTTACATTTATTCTTCCCCATTCCCTTTCCCTTCTTCACCCCACCCCCATCCTGCCCTCCCACTGGAGCACGACAAAGCAACTGCATTGTCTAAACAGACACCTGCTCCTTTGCTCGCTTGCTCGCTCTATGTGTGTGTGTGTGTGTGTGTGTGTACCATGCATATGCACGCGCGCGCGCACACACACACACACACACACACACAGAGCAACAGCCCTATAAAAATGGCTGCATGAGGGAGACTGTTGGGGAGTAAGAAGGAGTTATAAGTTATAAGGGAGCTTTTTCCTTCTGACTACTGCTCATTTCTCTTTGCAGAGGGAGTGGTGCAAGGAAGACCAGAATGTGAATGCCAGGCTGGGTGGCAATAGCAGCAGCTGCAAACACAAAAGCAAAGGGCCAGTCTGCCCACTTCCCACACAACACAGATTTGCTGACTCCCTGCTGGACTTCTGCCTCTCCCAACCCCTTTGCTTTATTTGAGTGACATGCTGGGGGTGGGGTTGAGAGCAGGAGCCCAGGCTACTGTCCCAGGAAGGAGACAGTTGCCAAGCTGCGGAGAGAACCAGGCAAGAAGTGCTTTATTTTTTACCACCACCCCTTTATTGCTCGTATCATACAACCAGGGTAAATTGAGTGGGTCAGGACAAGGCCCCAAAATGGTTGAATTGCTGGAGATGACTATCTGTGTGTATTGAGAGGTTTGCTATGATTACGTGCCATGGTTATGATTAGACAATGGATAAAGCTAATGCGAGCCCCTGTGCTTTTGAACAGCAGAAAGATACAGCTATAGCTCACTGTTCCTGCCACCCACTCTGTTTGCAGTGGGGTCAGGAGGACACAGGATTTGGAGGGAAAGCCAACAAGGCTAAGACAAGAGGACCACAATCTTTGCTTATGGGAGCAGTGGGGTGGCTTGTATCTCTCTGCAGCAGCACAGCCCTGCTGGCTCAATGCCCTGCTTGGGGTTTAGCTTCCATATTGGCTCAAAAATAAGAGACACCAACTCCCCTCTCAGGGTAGCACTGTTGGTAGGGTTCTGAGATCTGGCAACTTCCACCATTATCACAATCTGGCCACTGTTTTTCTCCCAGCCAGGAAGATGCTGCCCCTGCCACAATGCACCCATAAGAACTGGACTGACATGAAGGGAAAGTGGGATACTGTCCTGCTACTGCAACAGTCAGAAAAGCAAATACTCAAGTGTCTAACTCTTGATTTCAAGTGGGATGAATTACCACACAATCAATGGAAAATTGCTCCTACGGGAAAAGCAAAACTGTGTGTTTCTGTTCCAACAGTTAATCCAGCACGGCTGCCTTGTTTGACTGAGGGCAGAGACTTCAAGTGAGAAGGAGAGACACTCTGTGTGTGTTCATGCATGTGTGCACATAGACACATAGAATATACATGCAGG